GTTTGCATTTTTGGAAGAAACATCATTATACTTAAAGATAGAAATACGAGAACACGTGCCTGCAACAAAGGTCATTCGAAATGGTCTATGTTGATTGGTTAATAACCCCCGGCAATGCTCACAATTGAGCAGATTTAAACCTTTTAGCGCCGGGAGTTAATTGGGATGTGCTGAGCGCATTTGCGCACATTTATTCTACTGATATTGACAGCGGATTTGGATTCCGTACCATTATTCGTATTCAATCTGGAAACACTTTTAAACATATACACAAAACATTCTCACGATATTAATCAATTCATCGGACCTGAAGCCACCGGGACTGCTGCCGGATAGGGCATCTCGTGTTTTTCTTCCGCCGGCGCAGTGACCTCAACACCACCTTCGGTCCATAGACCGTGGTCGCGCAATGCCTGATATCCTCCCCGCAGACTATCGCCTTCGATGCCCTTCGCCCGGAGTACACTTGTCGCGACTCTCGCGGTATCACCGTTATAGCAAATCACCAGCACATGATGTCCCTTTAATTGCGAAATGACCTTTTCTTCATTGAAAATCGCATCCAATTCGCGCCATTCCGTTTCCAGAACCTGCGGATCCGAGAATGGCTTCGGGGTGTGAGAGTTCAGACTCTGCAGCGGGATGTTGACGGAGCTTGGGAGGTGCCAGGTGGAAAAGTCGGGAGCGGTGCGGAGGTCAAGGACGCAGCATTGGGGACGGAGAATGAGGTTGGAGAGGAGGTTTTGGGTGAGAGATTTCGGGGATTCGTAGAAGTGGGTGAAGAGGACGATGGGACTACGCTCCCAGCTTTCGTCGTAGCGGTAGAGGTCGACTTTTGTCAAATCCTGTCATCGTTAGTATAGGATGATCCGGGAGACGATAAAGGGGAAGTACCTCATTGCGAATGGGATGGAACTTGTCGGCTCCCAGCTTCGAGAAGTACTCGGAGATATACTGGTATGGCAGGTCGCAGCACAAGAAGACCGAGTGGATGAGACCGTCCGGACCGGCAAGTTCAGACAGAGTCCCTGCTTCTTTGCGCTTCTCGAACATCTGGAACAACCCCTTCAGATTGAACCCAGAAGATGGACCACAAACAATACCCTCGCGACACAAATCCAACGACCACGAGAAAGAGTCAAAAGAGTTCACCTCTTCAATAACATCCACCGCAGCCTTCCATGGAAACTCAACCGGCGCCATTAACGCAAACGACCTCGGTCCAGGAACCCTATCCCCCGCCGCCGTACAAACCCCCAACCTAACCACACTAGGCTTCACATCCTTAAAATACGTCCCCAAACCCGTCATAGTCCCCGAGGTCCCCATCCCCGCGCACAGCACGTTGATCTCGGGTAACTGTCTGAAGATCTGTGGCCCCGTCCATCGCACATGCGCCCCCCAGTTATCATCATTCTCGTACTGATTCGGGTTAAGGATCTCCTTGGACCCCAGGGCCATCGATCGCGCGTTCTGGATACCCCCGCGCTCATCAAATGGCTCGGGCTGCGAGGGTCCACCGAAGAGCGTGATGTCGAGCCCGAAAAACTGCATAAGGCGCAGTTTAGCTTCGCTAGTTTTGTTGCTCAGGAACGCGCGCACGTCGTCGACGCCGTGCATCACCCGGGCGATCATGGCCATGGAGATCACGGTCGAGCCGGAGCTGTATTCGATGACGGTTTTGGTGGAGGGGGTTACGCTTGATTGGAGCATGTTCATTGCTGCAGGTTGTTGTCAGTACTGAGTGCATATTTGTGATACGTCGCTCTTTTTTTTTTTTTTTTTTTTTTCAGTTTTGGGAGTGGTACCAGGCATGGATTTGACGTTGTTGGCTGGGTGCATGGTCATCATCTTTGCATAGATGCGAACGCCATCCTTGTAGAATGGATTCAGATGCTCCGGGAGCTCAACCAACGGCAATGGAGGTGCTGAGTCCGGATCGAAGTATTTTTTCAAGGCATCTGGGCCCGTGTAAACGTTTCGTTCGTTACCTGACATTGTGCCTGAGATGAAGAACTGAGGAAGAAGAATAATAGCGCCTAGGCTTGGAGTACAGAGTGCAGCAGAGGGGTAGCTTATAAAGCCCTGCATGTACACGCTTCCCCTCTTTAATTCTCGTTTATTTTCCCGTCCCTGAAATTCAATCTTGTGCCCTGTTCCTATTGACTTTTTGCGAATAACCGCGTCAACCTGCCCCACTATACAGCACCTTCTGTATACCAGTGACAGCGAAACTACTACTGCTCTTGGTATATGCGGGAAACACCCGACATCAGCACGCATTGAACTCGTATCCAAGTTGTTTACCGACGGAATACATGTCGCCATTCGAGTCCAGACATTATTAAAAAAGTACCTTGAGGCCAATGCCCAGAAACCTCAAGATCCTCGATCCAGTCAAGATCAGCCCTGTATGTCGGCTGAAGCCTTGAGTTACTCTATACAGGATATGAGCAACACCCCGCGAACCCTTTCTCCTACGAGCAGGGTACTCACTGCCAAGAGCAATCGACAATGTTTGCAGTGTACAAGCGAGAAAGGCAGAGGACCTTGGGTGAGAGTGTTTGAGCGGGTTTCATTTAGCGTGCTTCTTGGGTGCAGATCTCTATTGCGGATGTAGCGTTGAGATCGGCGGTTTTTTTACAAGTCCATTCCTCGGGAAAAGGTGACAACAGGAAAATAACTATTTTGGGAGGGGACGGAAATGTGAAGAATTCGGAAGATTGGACCGGGTTGCGTTTTAAGCTCCGGCGTTTTCTGTGTGGCTTCTGTGCGGTTTTTATCTTTTCTTTTCTTTTTGTCAACATCTCGGAGGATATCTGAGTGTCAAAGTGTGACGGTCAGACCAGCATCATGGCTTCCGAGGTCGAGGTTAAGCAGGCCAGTCCAGGCACGCCGCAGTCAGTCTCGCAGCCAGAGACCCCTGTTGAAGGCAATGGCAATAATGGCGGGTTTATTTTTAATGAGCAGACTAATTATGTTCCTAAGAGCACTATTATCACGGTTTGTATACGCATACCCTGGTCTAGATTTGGAAGAAGCTAACCATGCACCCCCCGCAAATAGATCTTCCTCGCCTGCTCAACAGTCGATCTCGTCGCATTGATGGACCAAACCACTCTCGCGGCCAGTTTGTCCATTATCGGTAATGCATTGGGAGCCAGCGACAAAACCTCCTGGATCTCAGGCGGCTACTTCGTCACCTCAACCTGCTTCCAGTTACTCTACGGCCGTCTGTCCGACATCTGGTCCCGCAAACTCGTTCTCTTCGTTGGTCTAGCGATCTTCTTCTTCGGTTCGTTGGCCGCGTCTCTCGCGCAGTCTGCCACGCAACTCATCATCTTCCGCGCCTTTACTGGTGTCGGTGGAGGTGGGTTGATGAGTGTGGCTCAGATGATTGTTAGTGATGTCGTGCCGCTAAGAGAACGGGGGAAGTATCAGGGTATCCTGGGTGCGGTTGTTGCTATTGCGAATGGTATTGGGCCGGTTATTGGAGGTGCGTTGGCGAGTATTAATGAGGACTCGTGGAGATGGATTTTCCGATTGAATCTGCCGCTCACGGCTATTTGCGTTCTGGCTGTGTTTTTCTTTATGCCTCTGCGTGCAGTAGAGGGTGATTGGAAGGCCAAGCTCAAGGCCGTGGATTTCATCGGTGCTGGTCTTGCACTGGGCGGTACTGCTGTGTTACTCCTGGGATTGAACTGGGGCGGCGGTGAGTATCTCTGGAACTCAGCGCATGTCATCGCGACACTCGTCGTTGGTATCGCTGTATCCATTGGATTCGTGCTTTGGCAATGGAAGGGCGCTTCGACGCCGTTGGTCCCTATGCACATCTTCAAGTCGAGGATTGTGAATGGGGCGTGTTTGACGATGTTCGTCAATGGGTGGAACTTCCTCGTGCAGGTGTATTACATTCCGACGTTTTATCAGTTGGTGTTTAACTACTCGACTGTTAAGGCGGGTGCTATGTTACTGCCCATCACTTTGCTCCAGAGTACGTTCCTTCAATGCATAGTCTATGACAGGATGCTAACTTGAACAGCTGTGAGTAGCACCGTCTCCGGCCTGATCGTGCATTGGGCTGGTCGCTACCGAGAGTGTATCCTCTTCGGGTGGATCATCTGGGCTGTTGGTCTGGGATTGTTCTCGACTCTGGATGAGAACTCCGGAATCGGGAAGCAAATTGGATACGGTATCTTGACGGGTGTTGGTGTTGGAAATACATTGCAGCCGTGAGTTCTTATTTGCCATGAAGCAATTGCAAATACTTACATTCATAGTGCTCTGATCGCCGTCCAAGCCGGTGTCGAGCGACGCGAAATGGCCGTTGTCACTGCGTTCCGGAAGTAAGCATCCATTCATTACCAGCATAGCTACATGATAACTAACACGTCCTCCTACAGCTTCGTCCGCAACCTCGGAGGAACCCTCGGCCTCGCCATCGCCGGCACAATCATGTACGTCCTCCCCAATTCCCAATCATCCAGATCTAAGACAACTAACTCATCCAGCAACAACCTGATCTCCTCCTCAATCTCCTCCCTCGGCCTCACCTCCGAGGAAACCCGCTCCTTCCTCGCCAGCCCAACAAACTACCTCTCCAAACTCCCCGCCGACGAAGCCGAGCACGCCCGCTCGTTAATCATCCCCGCATACCGCAAGGGTTTCCGGATAATTTTCATCATTGGCGCGGCGCTCTCAGCATTGGCATTCGTGCTAGCCGTCGTACTTATGCCACAGGTTACACTGAATCGCGACGATGACAAGAAGTTAAAAGAGGAAGGTAAACAGCGAATCAAAGCCGAGAAGGAGAAAGGGAATCGCGATGAGGAGAATGCAAGTAGGTGAACGTGATAGTCCAGTATCAGGATGGACTATCGCTATTACCATTATTACCCAATGGGGTAATAAGTCAATGCACGCTAAAAACACTATCACACGAGTTCATTGTTTGTTCGGCGCTAATCGCTCGTTCAGATCGGGTGGCAGTACGCTAATACGAGGCGAGGGGACAAAGAAGCGTGGATGGTTGACAAATTGGTGGTCGGGCATGTATATTATCAAGAATATATACGGAATGGTCGAGCTCTTTTCTGTTTCTTATGTTTGTCTCTTATATAATTAATATCAAGAATAATAATACTATAGCAATATGCCGACATATCTAATCCTCAATTCCGACCAAGGTACGATATCCACATCCATCCTTTTCATTCAATTCCCATCCCCATCCCCGATCCAAAAAGCAAAAAACCGCAAACAAAACTAACCCGCGCCATGATATGACAGCTCTCCCCAAATCCCTCTACGAAACCCTCCTCCGCCGCGCAAACACCACCCTCCTCGCAGCAACCCGCTACCTAACGCCCGAAGTCTCAAGCTCCTTCTTCCACCTCCCGAAACATGACTCATCGCTTGTGATCCCTGTTAAGATTGATTTGCTTTTGCGGTATGATGCGGCGGGGGCTGTGAGGGGGTTTCTTTTTGCGGGGGTTACACATGTTGATGCGGTTGTGTTGCAGGGGGGGAGGGGTGTTTGGAGGGGTGGGAGTTGTGGGAGTTGTGGCAATGGGGTTAGTGGGGGTGTTAATGGAGATGTGGGAAAGGAAGGGGAGTATGAGGAGGGATTAAGGAGGTTGTTTAGGCAGGTTAGGATGTTTTTGGAGCGGTCGAGGGTTGTGCTTTTGGGGTCGGGGACGGATGTGCCGGGGGTGAGGGACGTGGTGATGACGGAGGTTGGGGATGTTGCTTCTTTTATTCATGCGTGAGTCTCTTTTTGTTCTTTTCTTGCTTCGCTTTTTCTTAACGTGTCGAGGCTGAGGTGAGATGAGCAGTGACATCCCGGATGGAGATGGACCAGAATCAGCGACGGACAAGGTACTTCAATTGGTAAGTACGAGTAACTCCTGCTCTGTTCTTTAGAAGAGTTGGTATAGCTGACTGTTGCTTGTACGCGTAGATAGATGGATCATAACGAACAAGGATGGTAATCCGCAGGAAACCGGAAATGATGAATGCATCGAGGGTTGGGATTTCTTTGTTTGTTGCATTTATACATGTATGAATTTCACTATCACGCGTCGTTTGGGCTTTTGATTCACCGCTAGAAGTGTTTTGTTAGGAATTTTTGGGCATATATACGTTTTTCTCTTTTCTTCACTCTTTTCTCTTCCTCTTCAGATTCCCCCATCGTATACGGAGTCCGCTCTATATACAGTATGGTATCTATATAGTTTTTTATCTTCACTATTTTGTCAGCATCATTCTTGGTCTGTCATGATGGTAGGGCTGGATTTCAGTCTCTCGCTATAGGATGTGTTAAAGCGCTCTGTCCCTCTATTTCCCGTACAATTTTACTGACGTCTCTAGATTCACATACAGCTCGAACCGTTGTCCACAAGTCGATGTATTTGCGCGTAACAATAGGACATCCACGGAGAAGCAGGGTGCCTTCGCCTGCGCACCAGAATTATATGTCGTCTCTCTTTTTGTCCTGGGTTTTATAACATGTACGTATAGATCCTTTCTTTCTGGAATGATGAGTTACTAACATACCTACTCCAGACGGGGTCTGGGTCAACGACAGTTCTGGCGGGACGGATATATATACGAACGCTACAACGACGCGATCCACCCTCTAAGCCTGTACGAAGTGCCAACGGATAGATGTATAAATCGGCGGTGGTTCTTAGATCTATAACAGTGGATCTGCGAGGTGGCGTTTTGGTACCTGAAGTCTCCGTCAGGGAGGGCATGTGGTATAGCGTGCTTTCTGCGAGAGACGCGATACCTATTATATTCGGGAGTTGGTTCACAGCTACTCAATCCTAGTCTTCTCAGGGACGTTGACGATGGGTTCGAGCTGATGATGGGCTGTTTTCGTATATTCTCTTTGTGGGGGACCTCATTCTCAGACGGTATAAATGGCGTGTGGCTCCTTTTCTTTGCTTGTCTCTTTCTCCTGGGCTTGGGTTATATAGTATGTACGTTAATAACCCCCTCTACATCACTGGGCGGAGGCTAACATGCTCCAGACACATTAACGAGCTTGCGATCCCGTCCCGAAGCGTCATACCGTGGATTCAAAGCGGAACATCTGTCTTGGTTGTTCAAAGAACTATGATTGTTGTGACGTTCTGCACTGTCGCCGGACTTAACATACAGAGGCCACTGAGTCCTGTCCGGTCCGTCTTCACGACCTTGAACTCTGGTCGAATCAAGTGGCTGCGAAAGGGGTGAGAGTGCTTTAGTGGTGAGGATGAGACAGTTGTGAACACAGAGTGGTCAGCTGCTAAGCGCCATTACTGAGCAGCCCCTTTCTCACCCGGGACACAATCTAGCGATAGAAGAAAAAGGGAGTTTTGCTACTTCTTATGTGATTCGGCTTCTTTATACACACGAAGGACTTCCAGGAGAAAGTCGCTTTGCTCGCATGATTTGAACATACAGCATGACTGGCGGTTGTCTTTGCTGCCCTGGTGGACAGCTCTCCAGTAAATTTTCGAAGCCCGGAATTAAAGCACCCGATTCTGACTGGAACATGATGGCGCTGTACGTATATGCGAGTCCTGACCTAATGATTTGCTGGTATTAACGCTGAATTTCAGGTTGTGGCATCTTGTTTTAGAAAGTTTTATATAGAAATCGCAAGATGTGAAGGACTAGGGCTCCTTCGGCATATTTCTGGATACTATGTGGTAAGTAGTCCACTACCTGGCCAATTCGTCATGGTGGGTAACATTCGGTCGTCTGTCAGCTGTGTCGAAGCACTAGACGACACCTGGAATTGGTTGCTGGGTATTATGTGCGAGCTCAAGGTCCTCCACAGGGGAGCCTTATCCGGAAACCTCAATTGCTGGGAAACCGTTTCCGAAGGCGAGTATGCACTATATTCAGCCTTGCGGATCCTGGAATATCAATAACCTCGCCGAAACGAAATGAGGCGGGCTGTCCCAATCTTCGTCTCCATTACGACTGTCGGTAGGAAGTCTGCTAAGTTAGGGTGAGTGGGAAAGCACAATGGAGAGAACACTCAATCCACCAGTTCTTTACGAATCGAATTTTCCCCTCAAGCTCGATACATTGAGCATATGACCTTGCCAGGTGGCTTTCAGCAATTCACGATTCGTGAATCATCCGGACAACTACCAGGGAAGCTCCTCACACGAGCGGTTTATTTTCAGGGCATCCATTCGCTACATGTGTCTGTTTTGGGGCTAATAAAAAACAACATAAGACGCGCCGTGCGGTACTCCATGCTCTTTTTTAGATGGCTGGTGAAGCTTGATATTCCAACCCCGAATGTTCTGCACATGCTTTTCAGCAGGGCATCCAATCGCAGCCTTGGAGAGTGGCTTTTTGTGGCAAATGCGACGAATGCCCAGGCTGGTCTCTCCGTCATGACAAATGCTACACGGGAGTGCCGTGGTTTGGTGTGTTCAAAGTCCGCAACGGACTTCTGAACCTCGTCATTGTCACAAACGAGGAATACAAGGTCTCATTCCCCACCAGCTGGCACTTGTGCCTACAACAGGGAACAAGGCTTGGCTTGAGGGTGGCACTCGGAGGGGAGCCAGTGGATCTCCATGGCAAAGTCCGGCTATAGTTTATGGTACGGAATGCATTCTAAGATTGTGTAATCTCGCCATTGTTCGGGCTAGAAATTCGATTTATCTGCCGCTCAGTTCGAAAACAAAGTCAAGGGGAGCAGTGACTGCTTTCAGGAAGCTTTTATGTGCTTACATCAGAGGTATGTATAATCATTCATCTGGTTTTTGCTCTTTAGCTAATGCTGGATAGGTTGGAATAGCGCATCACGTCGGCTCGGTCTTTCGGTGTCTGAGGGACCAGATGAAGATCAACAAATAACGACGGCCTTTCTTGCATTGAGCACTGTCGGAACTTTCATAGCTCCGAGCGGCATGAATAACAGAACGACGTCTTAAGCGTGCCATGTGAGGTTCCTGGACACAGCCTGGCTGCTAGTATATAATTAAATTACGGTGGTATGTGCCAAGATTATTCGTGATACTAGATTACTAATTATCAAATGCATCGAGAGAATTTCTACTGACTCTTGCTGACTCTCGCTCAGGATACCCCGATTTAATTCTCGCGATCACGAGCAACTGATAATGGCCGGCGGGGAAAGCACTCTCACACGCAGCAATCTTTTGCTCTGCAACCTGGACAGCAAGCTACATGTAATTCTGTAGTTCGAAGTACTTATTTCCTTAGTCTTTAACCCAGAACGCAGCTAACAAGGTCAACTTTCAGCGCCTTCATGGACTAGCATGCGAATCTTGCGGAATCGCAAAGGAATCAGCTCTGTATTCTCCGGCTGTGCCGGCTTTTCCCTTTCTTCATGACAGGCTGTGAGGGCGGTTATTTGGCTCCCAATTCTGGCTTCCTCGACAATGGTGCTTGCCATGTGGGCGGCCTGGTTTCTTGCTCCACTGGTTTGAAGTAAATTTACGCCTCTCGGCGTACTATTTTTATCGATTTAATGAAAAGTATCACGACTATTTTCCATTGGACCTACGATGACCTCATCCATTCTGTTCGCCCTTGATGGTGTCTTCTTTTTCTCAATCGCGTCCCTGACTTGAACTATACTGACAGATTAAAGCTTCACGACAATGATGTTATAGCATCACTATGAAGACTATTGCACTGGGGCTTTGTAGAGACGTCTCTCTTTTTGATTGACCTTGTGCCTCATTACAGCACCATTTCATCTATTTCAATTATTTTCTAAGGTCAGGAATGATTTGATTTCGCTCCGCGCAAGCTGGCACAACTTCCCTTAATTGGATGGCAACCTCTAGATTTTGTACATCAATTTGATCTGTGCTCTTGGTCTGTGTTCCTGGGATTGTTCTTCCTTCTTCTTTTTTGGTATTCTTGGACAAGCGTGGACATCCTCTCGTGGATTAGAGACTCCAAGTATGCAGCCCTATTCATGATCCCCGCTCAAATTCAACGCTAACACCGATTTCCAGATCAAGCCCTATCTATATATATATTTCGTCACTATAAACCATCTCGAGTGAGCTTTCACCTTTATATATATCTCCTCCAGGTATGGCGAAGAGCTTTACTGCCCCGCCTACAGACCTTCCATTATGGAAGGTTTCAATTCCAATATATCGAGTTGGAGAGGGTGTACGAGGACGCTGGGAATATAATAACCCATTACCTCTGCCGTGATAAATATAAGTCTTTTCCGAGGTCAGATGGGCGCTCTGGAGAATACCGATGCAGCGTACAGCATGCCGTTTTGCGTGTTGCTGAAGTTGGTATTCCATCTACCCCTTTCAGAATACCTGCTAACATTCAACAAAGTGCCAAAACCTCCTGGTGCTCCAGCAATACGATGACCGCTCCTTCGGGTGGAACTAGGGCCAGATTCATATATATGCAACCGAAAAATACAGCGACGAAGGTAGCTAAGGGTCAACGGAAGTCACAGACCAGTCGTACATGGATATCTGGAGCAGCCATTCTCGGTCAACGAAACGCCGCCAATTATGCGATATATTACAACGCTCACGAAGCGATGACAGCTGAAAGGATTTTCGGTAATAATTCTCTCTGGCTGTTCGTTTAATGACAATCATTCACGCCCATGCAATTCTCCACTGCTACCATGCTGCATGCTGGTGTACGCGAAACTCTTCGGAACAACAAAGCTATGTATATATATATATATATACCTTGTGGTTATAGACCGACACGGATGGCACAGATAATGCCTGGCTTGTCTTTACGGTCACCACGACGGATGAGTCCACTTGAACACGAATTCGCAGCTCCATCAGCTGATCTTGGCCCATTCATGTAGTGCCGCTTTTGTCAACTGGAAACCTCAGCCGTGCTGGGTTCTCTTTGGCCAACTCACCGGCGGTAAGTCTAACATATTCCAATTTGATGAGTCCGGCCATGTTGACCGGTTCTAGAAAGTTAATAACGACGGGAAATATCCAACTGCTGTCACTCACTGCTCTTGTTTCTCGGACAGCCCTAGTACCACTTAGCCCAACCGCTGAGCTCCTCCGACAAGAGGTCAAAGTTGTGGCAATCAAGACCGGCACCGTGGAAAACAAAGAGATGGGCGAGATGATGGCCAGGACGTTCTGCCTCTGGCATGGTTCTTTCGTACACACCATAAGCAAATGAGCCATGTTCGATTACAGATGCCAGTTCTATATCAATCTGCAAAGTTTGGCGGAGCATCTTTGCTCAACATATTTGCGATATGTTGCCGATGTCAGCGACGACAGAACGCTGGTTTCGGTCTGTTGGCTTAGTCTTTATATCACGCAGGTGAGCATTTTTGGCTCATCGAATTTTTTGCAGGCTAGTTGCTAATGAAATCCCCTAAAAAGACCAGGATTGATCTCGTACATGTCTGCCACATATTCGCTTCGCCTTCACAACGATCCTACTACCGTCTGATGGCCCGACCAAGTCAGCGAATAATTGTCGGAGAGGCTCTGACCTTGTCCAATTGTCCGAATTTTATCTCGCTTTTATATATACCGCTCGGTGCGAAATTTAAGTCACCTCGAGTTTTATCCGGTGACCACGCAAACAAGGACGCTTTATGAAAGAAGCACTGGTAATGCTTCTTGCTTTCTATATACAGTGTCTTCTCTGTCTATAATACGCCGTGATTCACAATGATGGAACGTGTATTGGGGATTATTGATCCGCTGGATGTCACGAAACCCGGCAGTTTACAGCTTATGCATCTCGTCAACATTGTTCTTTTTGCTCTCCTGATGTCAAGATGCGTTTCAATAGCAAAACCACTGCCGGGAATTATAGTCGTCTTAGCATCATGTCATTTTACCTCATGCAGGTGGGGATAGAAATGCTTGCCTACATAATGTCCTGCGGGTTAAATGGAAAGCAAAAGTTGCTTCCACTCTCCTCAGTACTTTGTCGGCAGACTATACGATCTAACTTGGTTACTAACAAGGTCTGAGGCTTGAGCCTTGTAGCATGCCTTGGTAACCCTACTTCTTTGCTAAATACAGCGTCTCGAAGGGACAAGGCGGTTCGACGAAGGATGCCCACAGATTATTACGCATAGCTGTCGAAGAGATATTATAATTTTTGGCTTAGCCTGACTTCATGCAAATGGGCATCAACATACTCACATTCACCATTTACTGTGGGCTAAATAGATTGCAACGACAGACAATGGCCAGAATTCACTTGCTTGTTTCTGTGTCTGTATCTGTTTCTGTTTCTGTTTCCTGGTCACAAGATCCAAAGCCTCGTCTGGTCTGGTTCTATAACTATATCGCAGTCGCAGAAAAGACGTAAATACGGGAAAGTGGAGGTAACTGCAGTCGTCAAAAAGATACCTCATTCAAGTTGTAAAATGGCATTCCAGTTCGTCGATGACGGAACGACGCTGTGCTCATGCCGAAAAAGAGCCAAACGCCTTGTTCCCCTGGCACCATAATTATCTGCAACAGCGAGGTTATCTCTAATTCAAACAGTCATCTTGACATCATATGGTCGTATGCTCGGGTGGCCATGCCTGTGCCTTGTTTCTGGGTGCACGGAGGTTCATACCATGTGGTATTTGAACGAATACAACGAAGATCGATCCGGCCTTATTCAAATGGGCATAGAGATGTTGGCAGTTATTACGGACTGCGGGTTAAGCGAGATCCCTTCTGTCTGTCCAATCCCAGCAGACTTGGACCAGCTGTTTCTATGGCACAGCAAAGACTGGCCAAGCATGGCACATGGTATACTGAGTGTCTGCTATGATAATTGCACCCCAATTAAAGAAAGAGTGCAAAGTCAGGCGAGAACAGATGGCGTTCCACAGGCAGAGGGCTGGGCCAAGTGCCCTTTCCCAGCGTGCCATCGCATCGAGAAGCCTGGAAACAATACCGAGAAATCTGGCGATAGCCGCAAGCTGGACTTGCGGCCAGCCAATGTTCTTCGGTTATATCTACAATATTTATCCCATCTCGTTCAAACGAGCCCCACCATGCCTTTGTCGTCCCGTTTCGCGTTCGAAGATGCAGCCCTGAGAGCTCAGAGTTCCCCGTATTTAATCGGCTATGACCCACATGCACACATATACTGAGGAAAGGCCTTGCTTGGCCTTGGCTTTGCACATACTACATGACCAGGGGCGTGATGGAAATTGCCTGATGCCTAGTGTATGCACTTGGCCTCGTCGACCTAAGACAACCGCTTGTCACTACTCTTCCAGCCCAGAACTGAGACTGCAGTACGCGCTGGTAGATTGTGTGCTGTGCTGTGCTGCATCAAGAATTTTCGAAGACATTATCATCCAAGCCAAGTTAGGCTCCTATCGTCCTTACTGAAAACCGGGTCTTGCCGTCGAGATAACCAAAAACGAAGAATCGAAAATATTTTCCAGTACGTACGACTACAGCGCCTTTGCAGTCCAGATTCGGACAACACGAGCCCTCATTGGCACCGGTCGGCAGACATCCCTGGACTAACCCAGGTGTGATCCTAGAAGCGAGATGTCAGTTTTGAGAAAAGACTTACGTTGTAGAAGATCTGTGGCCTGAGGGCCGAGCTTTACAAGGCCGCAGCTATAGCCTTCGTCACCCGGGCACTATCAGCGAGGCCTAGTTTAGCGGGAACGACTACTTTCCTTTGCAAAGGCGATATCAAGGGCTATGTTACTTGTGAGACTCGCATCAGCATCATACTGATCTATTTACTTAATGTGTATTAACAAGTAGCATGAGCCACATGGCAATCCTCGACAAGCAGCACCACTTAAAGAGAGAGCCAAGTGACCAGTGTGCCAGGCGCCAATCCATTTCGTTATTGAAGCAAATACTTATCCCCGTACCAAGACTGTTGGTACGAACACAGAAAAGGCATGAGGGGCGAGGGACTTCGAATGCCTGGTCAGAGCAAAGCTGGCGAGCCAGATACAACTCCAGGAACAAGAGTGTGTCATACTAACTCTCCAGTGCTAGGCCAAATGTTCACCTGTCCCATTTGCAAGAAGCCAGACCTACCGACGGAGATAGTCCCTATTCTGTCGAACTGCATCTATCGCACGCGCTTTGGTACGCCACATTGTTAAGCGTTTGGCGATGGAAAAGAGGTGATGTCGACGGCCACATATAACCGTCGTCGTTTCTGATCTCTGCTCTTCTGATACAGGGATCGTCGCAAACAGAGCCGTTTCTCCCTTGACAGAGTCAATGTCCACAGACAAATCTGCCATAAAAAACACCAGGGATAGAACAATTCCCATACAGGTTTTTTCACTTTGAGCATCCAATCCTGGAGGGATGGACAAAACATGTCCTTACACAGTCAGTTCCTCCCTGGCTAGTCGAGCAGGTGCTGTTTGCCAGACACTATTGACTGACATCAAAGATAGGTGAGAGCATATCATGTGTATGGTCCTGGCAGATGAGAGGAGTAACCCATGCAAGGAATGGCCTGAGTCAGTGAGTGCACAGAAAATAAAACGAGAGTTGGCCTGTCCAATTGACAAAGGGTATGGCCCATTGTAAAACTGGAGCGGCGAACGATAGCGGTTACTACCACATCTCCCATTGATGATGGATAAAGCCAACCGAGATTGTCGACTTTTATATGCTTGCCCTAATGACTCGCTGTATCTCGTCTTTGTGAGAAATCGTCGCACGAGCGGCCTTCTAGGAGCACCTACAGACATACACTGGGGAAATGCAGTCGTCCTCCTTTTTTGAATTATTTTGTTTGAATTCCCTACAATGCAAGCGCATTTCTATTGGGGCGCAGGGATTTATCAGTGCCTTCAAAAAGGGTCGCGGTGCTTACGTCCGCTGTTCCAACCCTAAGTCTCACCGGCGGTGCCAACGCGTAAGTTTTCTTTCTTATTATTACTCATATCCCGCAGTTGTATTGACATTTGCTGTACTTGTAGGTGCCCGCACATCACCACTTCGTTGCCCGTCGTGTCGTCACTCGATGCATTGGGCTGCGTCCCGTTGCCGACAAAGACCTTCTCCAGGCTAGTAGCTCGACGAGAGGGGCACCATTGAGTTCGAACATTCCGAGTCGATTTGGATTAAGCAACCAAACCCATCACATACCGAACTTTTGGATAGCATACTCAAGAAAGAAACGTATGTGCGGATATAAGGCTGCTTTAACCTCTCGAATCAATCTGCCACGTCAACTCTACGATGTGTGGCAACATGCACATGCACACAGATATTGGGGCATGGCCGAAGCCAGGTGTATTTCCAGAGGCCAGATGTCGGCTTTCAGGTCAGCCATGTACAACCAATCTCCCTCCCATCATTGTTTCTGATCTCTGCTCTTCTGGTAAGGAGATCATCGCAAACGGAGCCGTTTCTCCCTTTACAGGGTCAAAGTCCAGGACGAACTTGCCATAGAAAAACACCAGTCGAATATTTCACAGATCCCATGCAAGCTTTTTGCCGTGCTGTCCAATTTTGAAAAGATGGACGGCTCTTTTGCCCTTGTGGAAACAAATTTCTCCATGGACACATCCTCCCTGGCCGGTCAATCAGGTACAGTTTTACATTGGATTGGGTGAGCGCAATAATCGAAGCGCGCAGAAAATAAAACGAAAATTGGTCTGTTTAATTGACAGATGGTATGGCCCACTGTAACCCTGGCTTCACGGCATAGCAACGGGAGAGCACGTGGATGATGGCGAAACTGGCGTTGTGATGGTGAAACAGTGTGGTAGAGCTACCACAATCACCAGTTAGGGCGGAGCGCGTTGTCCTGCGAGATATCGTTAATGTTGAGGCTACGATTCTCTTTTTGAATATGAATCCCGGCTCGGACATTGATGACAACAAAGCTGCTGAGATTGGACGGTGAATTGGGCCCCTCAGATTCCTCAAGTTGCTTCCTTGTGTTGAGACTGTTTCCCCTTCACCTCTACAGCTGTTAATTCCAGAACGCCTGCGACAACTTACTGCCAATGGTCCAGCTCCTTCTTTTCCACATTTCAAGTTTGGTCAGAATGTTACTGTCAAGGCTATACCAATGAATGATCCTGATCTTGGAGACATGTCAGAATATTTGATCTTCCAATTACTCTGTCAACTCAAACACCCGCCCCTGGCTCTGATACTCCCAAGGACAGCCTGACCAGCCCGCCTGTGTCTGACATGGATGAAAGTGATCAAGTTCAAAATGAAGACCAGATGGATATCAATTCATCAAGCTCAATGCCTACCCCTGAGACCATGCCTACCACTGATGAAGACTAACACAGCTGCGAATAGCTACTCTGACAATGAAATAAAACTGGGAGTCAATTTAATGGTTGTGTGGAAAGACACTGACATTGAGTTGACCACAGTCAACCTGATGGACTTGGTGCTAAGTCATGATGGACCGTCACCCCCTGTTTCTCCGCCTCTGGAAGGGCCACAAACTCCGCTTCTCTCGGGCTCCGAGAATGACGGTGACCCTAAAGAGTTTCCCTATGGAGACAGATCCTGTGGTTGTCGGAGCATCACTGAGGACTTCTACAGCGCGATCACCCTATTAATGAATCAAAGCGGCCGATATCGTCGACTTTGTATCCGTTTTCCCTAATGGCCAGCCCCGTAATAGTCTCAGGAGAAACTAACGAGCATCGACGATCTCCAGAAACTACCTACAAACATACACTGGGGAAACATGCTCGTGCTCTCTTACGCATTTTGTTCAACATGTCAGTTCGCCAACGCAGGCGCGTTTTCATTCAAGCATGGTGCAGCCATTTCCTTTCCCAACCAGGGCTCAAGGGCTGCGATATCATTATAGGGTTTGGTGGGTCGTCTCAAGAAGCCTCAAATGGTCTAATGGTGGATCAGGGCCCTGAGCTCGGACGACGTCGAAATTGCTTTTGAAGTAGGCTTTGGGCAGTCTCTTCTTTTAAAGTTGCTAGAACATATCTCAATGCGGGACAGGTCACCGTCGTGTCGTCATTCTGCTGGACATTTGGAAAATGGCATTGGAGAAACTCTAGGGGAAAGGGACATCGCCGAGCTTCAATGCTCCGAGTCGATAGATGCTTGCACTCGTACCGAAGAGATGTGGACTTGAAGCGGTCTGATCTGGGACCATTCACAACATATCATCGCCAAGCACTAAAGATATAACCAGTATCTCGAAATCTTGAAGAAGTCCCTGAGTTCAATGAGAACAGAGAGTAACCTCTGAATCATCAATGTCCGTCCGGGTCAAGACACAGAAAATGCTCGTCAAAAGGAGCGAGACAGACATCCCGTTTGCCTTTATGGCCCACTGTATCTTGGCCTTGTGAGAAACCACACTACATTCCCGTGAAAGCCAAAAGGCGGAGATGCCGTCTCGAGTCACAACCTGGATCGACATTATGCAATGTTCTGCGTGGATGAGTCGCGGCTGAAGTGATATGGCCTGGAAAGTGCCTGATATTCTACACTGTCCCGGATTTACCCCTGGTAATTGAACCGAATACCACTACTATTTCGAAATCATATAAAGCGGAGTCGAGATTGCAAATCTCAATAAGAACAGCGACCCCGTCATACTTGACAAATCTCCTCTACGGAAGAGAACATGGTGCACCTGCACCAAGTGCCGACGGCACTGGAGTCGTCCATCCGAAAGGGTTGATATGGACACAATTTGCGTTCTGGTACCAGGGCATCACGTTTCACGGCTAGGCATCAGCACGAGAGATTTAGGAGAGGGTCGATGTGATTAAGGAACATGCGGTTTCCGAAACCTTGGAGGTCTTGGATTTGGATGTGCGGTTTTGGGATTCTTATTGGAGGTTTGGGCAGAGCAGTTAATAGTCGGTGCCACACACAGCAAACACACGTTGACGGAGGCCAGGGAAGGAAGAGTATATCCTCTATCCTCAACAGGATACGATTTTGTTGTTGTCCAATTGATTGTATTAAGAACCCTAGTTCAAATCCGTACTAGAATTAAACAATTGAGAAAGAAAGAAGGAAAAGGAATGTCATCTTATCATCAATCATGCATCAAATACTCCAATCGGCCATACCAACGCCAACCAAAAAGTATTAAATAAAACAGTCACAAGAAAGTAACCCCGAAAGAAACAAAGCAGTACCCAAATGAGAATGAAAAGACACAAGAAGAGAAAAGAAAAGCTCAAATATCATCAACAACAACAACCCTCTCCACAACCCAATCCACCGCCGTCTGTCCCTCAACCCTCCACGACCCATCAGCCCACATATCAAACATCCAATACCTCCAATTCCAATCCCGTGTGCCATTATCCCACCACGACCCCTCATTACCACCTTTCCCCTTCCCCTTGCCCTCAGCCGAGAAATCAAGATTGACATTCCGATTCCCAACGCCCGGAACAGCGCCAGCGCCGCCAGTCATACCCTGTCTAATCCGCCACTCGCGCTCGGCGCGTTCACCAGCGCGTCGTGCAACAGCGTCTTCGTCTTCAGATTGGTAGAGGTCGCATTTGTTGCACTCGGTGCAGCGTGAGCCGGGGTTTGGTCGGAAATGTTCGCAGAAGTGCCGGTAGCCTTCGGGTTCTTCGGGCTCGTCGTTTTCATCCTCGTATTCGTCTGTTTGGTCTGGGGGGTTGTTTTCTTGATTGCGGCGGGGTGGGCGACGACGGCGGGGTTGGAGGGCTGGTTCGAGGGGTGGGCCTAGGGCTTTGCGGCAGAGGTAGCACATGGAGTAGCCGCAGACGCAGGTTAATTTGTTGCAGCCGGAGGATTTGACAAAGGATAGACCACATCGGGGACATGTTCGTTTGACGGCTGCCGTGCGAGCTGCCTCCACCGTCGCTCGTAGATCAAGTAGCAACGGCTCATGGCAAACATGCGGGTCCCGCCATGGTTTCTGGCAGGTAATGCAACTAACCCGTCGACAAGCCGGATGCGCACAAGTAAACCGTTTCGGGCGAATCTTGAGACACAGATTCAGCAGCGAATTCTGCAGAATAGCAGGAATGGCAGACGGGTCCATCAACCAGAGGATAAACATAGGAACCGCAAGTAGACATATCAAGTCAATAAACAGGATGGTCATGACAATCATAGCAACAAACCCATTAGTCCGAAACCGCCATCGCACACCCCTAACCGAAGGATGATAAACCGGATCAACCTCAGCGTACGAACAAAACAGGCAGCGAATAAGCTTGTACTGCGATTTCAGCAGTGCCTCGCTGGCAAGCCTGTCCTCAAACTTCCGATGCGTCTCGAATCCTGCCTTATCCAGTAGAATCGCCCGCTTCACGATATTCGTATGTAAAGTCCCGTCGCAATTCCCATGCGAGAGCGGCGCAAGACACTTCAGCGTCGACCGTTCGATATCAACGGATTTATTCCACCCCTGCCCGAACAGCGCTTCATGCACAGTCCTCTGTATACACCCGTAGCATATAACATGTCCAGCCACCGAACACGTCGATATCTGCTCGAACGTCACATCCGACAGGCAGCACTCGCATTCATACAGCGCATCAGCAACCTTGGCTTCACTCTCATTCAACTCCTCCGCCATCCGGAAATCTTTTTCTTGCTGCTCCTCCTGCCTCTGCCGCAGCAACGGCGCCAATAGCGCCTCATGCAGTTCGCGATCTAACTCCGCACACCCCGTCTCTTTCAACCTGGGAACTACCTCCCCATCAGCCCGCTGCCACACAAGTAACGGATGCTCCTCACGGTCTTTCTTCCGCTTGAACGATGGAAACAGGTTATTAAACGTCGCGCGCCATGTCCGTCGCGCCAGGTCTCGTAGTGTAGGTCTCGCCCGGTGATAGCAGAAATTCACCTCTGCCAGAACCGCGTCAACGGTACTCTTGCTCAGCGCTGTGAATTCTTTCCCCAGTACCGCCTTGACAGCTGCTTTGTATTCATCGGATCGAAATCGTTCCTCGTAGGGTACTGCGCCTTCACCATCACCCCCAACCACTTTCTCACCACCACCCCTAGATCCAGTATTATCACCATCAGGAACATTCCACCTCCCTCCAACCCACTCCTTCTTATGCCTCAACAACTCCTCCACGCAAACCTCAACCCGACTATTCCCATCGAACCGCACCAGCATCTCCCGGAATACTTCGACCTTGACATCCGGAAAGACCCGGGCTAGGGTTTCCAGGGCCGTGTTGAGTTCTGCTTGTTCGCGGTGGTGTTCTTCGAGTTGTTCTTTTGTTTTTGAGAAGGATGGGCGGGTGCGGGTGGTGAATGGAGCGCGGAGGATGTTGCTGCTGCTATTGCTGGTGGAGGAGGATGGGGTGTGGTTGGTGGAGGAGGAGAGGACGGATGTTGGACGCCATGGGTGTTTTGTTGAGGTTGAGGAGCGATGGCGACGGTGGTTATTCTGGTTATTCTGGTTGTTGTCGTTGTCGTTGTTGTTGTTGTCGGGTTGAGTCGTGGGGGATGAGGACGAGGATCTGGAGAAGCTAGGGACAGATAGCGAGAGCACCATCGTTGTTCATCTGCTTTGGTTCAAAAAGGTGCTACATGATCGTAACAGCAATCCAGGGTGGTTGTTGTAGAGTGTTGGATGCTGAAGGGTAGAGATGACGAGGTGTGATTTGACAGGTGCTCTTTTTCGGAGACTGCGGGGGGTTCTTTCAGCTGTGGTTATGTAACCCTCCACCTTTCTTTTTCTAGGGTCGGTCAGATTTAGTGTCAAAAAGGGTTCTATTATTGGCCTTTTTATTATTTTGCTTTCGTTTGTGAGAATTGTCCAATGGTTATTGACCCGGCTTACATGTCAACGCGTCGCCGGATCGCCTCGTCTACGCCATAGATCGGAATGTACGGAATTAAATCAAATCAGATCAAAAACGGAAAATGAACATAAAATTGCATCGTACAAAAGCATCATAACTTATATACACATTCTGGTACTCCGATGTTTCCCCATTACCAAATTACTAGTTTACAGCTTAGCCTTAGCGCCCTCCAGGAGCTCAGCGCCAGCGCCCGTAATCGCCGGCTTACCGGTCTCCACAACCGTAGCCTGGAAGACAACTGTGTTTCCTTCCTTCCACATCTCCGTCTTGAGAGTCTGACCGGGAAGAACGACACCAGCGAAACGGACCTTGAGGTTCTTGAACTGTCCGAACTTGCCGAACACGTGCTTACCGGAGACACCCAGCGAGCACAGGCCGTGCAGGATGGGGGTCTTGAAGCCGCCAACCTTGCTGAATTCGGGATCGATATGCAGAGGGTTGCGGTCGCCGTTCAGACGGTACAGAGCGGCCTGGTCCTCCGAGGTCTTCTCCTCGACGACGGCGTCGGGCTGGCGCTGGGGAGCTTTGTACGCGTTGGTGGCGGCCTTGGGGCGGACGGCGGTGGGCTTTGGAGAACCGCCGAAGCCACCGCTGCCACGGATGAACACGGTCGACTCGTTGTAGAACAGGTCCTCGCCAGTCTTAGCGTCCTTGGTAGTGTAGCCAGCGACCACGAGGGCGGCGTTGCCCTTGTCGACGACGTCGATGAGCTTGGGGTAGGTGAGGGTGTTGGCGGCGGTGGGGATGGGGAACTTGCGGACCTCCATGTACTGCTCACCGTGCAGCAGCATCATGGGCGAGAAGTTGGCCACAATGTCGTCCATGTTCCAGGGAGTGGCGGTGTTGAACCAAGGGACCACACCGTAGGTGGGCAGGGCCTGGAAGTGCTCATTGTTCTCGTAGACCAAGGGGAGGTCGGTGCGCTTGGCACCCAAGCTGAGGTTGTACAGGATGATGTCGCGGTCGACGTAGTCAAACGGCGTGCCTTCAGCGGACAGCCCCTTGGCCTTCTCAATGTTCTGCAGGATGCTGCCCTCGCCCTCGGAATCACCGCCCTTGCGGTTGGTCATGTTGGCCATGATTCTCTCAGCACCAGCCTGGCCATCCTCGGGGTGGTCGGCCCGGCCATCTTCAAAGTTAATGATCTTCTGCAAGTTCTTGGCAACCTCCTCGGGAGTCAGTTGCACGTCCACGGGGAATCCGTGACCGCCAGAGCGTTGCCAGCGGGTGCAGGAGAACCAGCCGCTACCGCACTCGTACAGACCCTTGGTGCCAGCTCCGGGAACGTTGTCAGAGCACAGGAGGACGACCAGGGGAGCGACGTAGTCAGGCTTGAAGGACTGGACCATTTCCTCGGGCATGATGGTACGGGTCATGTTGGTACCAGCATTGGGGGCAATGGTGTTGACCTTGATGTTGTACTTGGCGCCTTCAAGGGCCAGGGTACGGGAGAAACCAAGGATACCAAGCTTCGCGGCAGCGTAGTTGGCCTGACCGAAGTTACCGTAGATACCGCTGGTGCTAGCAGTGTTGACAATACGGCCATACTTCTGCTTGAGCATGTACGGCCAGGCAGCCTTGGTGACCTTGTAGGTACCGCGGAGGTGGACGTTAACAACGGAGTTCCACAGGTTTTCATCCATGTTGGTGAAAGCCTTGTCACGCAGGATACCAGCGTTGTTGACCAAGATATCGATGCGTCCGAAGGCGTCGATGGCAGACTTGACAACGGCATCACCATCCTCGCAAGAGGCCTTGTTGCCAACAGCCTGGCCACCCAGCTTCTTGATCTCCTCAACAACGGGGTCGGGGTTGACCAAGTCGTTCACAACAATGGAGGCACCAAGCTTAGCAAACTGCAAGGCGTATGCGCGGCCAAGACCACTGCCAGCACCGGTGATAAGGGCAACCTTGCCCTTGAAGTTGGGCTCCTCGCCAGCGGTAGCACTGGGCACCTTCAAGCCGTCCTCCAACAGGCTCATGAAGTCAGCAGGGCCGGTAGGGTAGTCGGGCTGAGAGAAGTCGTTGACATCGTTCCACTTTCTGGCGAGGGCGCCAGGGGTCAACGAAGCGTCAGTCTTCAGGAGAGCACCCTTGGCGCGCTCCCAGCGGAGCTTGGCCATGTGGCCACCACCAACTTCAAAGATCGAGCCAGTCTCGGAAGTGTTCGAGGCGTGGGCCAAGACGGCCACCAGGGGAACCACCCAGTCGGGCTTCAGGTTCTCGAGAACATCAGGGGGCATAACAGTAGCGGTCATACGGCTCGCGGCTGTTAAGTTAGCTACAGTCCTTCGTAATCAAGGATACAGCAACATACCAATAGGAGCGATAACATTGGCAATAATGTTATACTTAGCACCCTCCTTAGCGAGAGTCTCCGTGAAGCCAACCTGACCCAACTTGGCAGCTATTCGCCATTAGCACCCAATCCAGTTTCCATAATACCATAGGCTACTCACCAGAATAATTCGCCTGCCCAAAACTCCCAAACAACCCCGCCGCCGAAGCAGTGTTAATCACCCGCCCATACTTCTGTTTCCGGAAGTGCGGCCACGCAGCCTTAGCACATCTGTAAGCACCATACGTATGCACCTTGTTAATCAAATCCCAGTCCTGGTCCTTCATGTTCTTAAAGCTGACATCGCGCAGGATACCGGCATTGTTGATGAGCACGTCCACGCGGCCGAAATTCTGGATTGCGGTGTTGATGATGGCTTCGCCGTTCTCGACGCTGTCGTAGTTGGCGACGGCTTTGCCGCCGGCGGAGCGGATTTCGTTTACCACGACGTCTGCGGTCTTTTACTATTAGCTTTATATTGGGATGACAGTGTAGGGTGTGTGTGGATGTACCTTTGACGACTTGCCCTCACCGGCGTGAGAACCGCCCAGGTCGTTGACGACGACGTTGGCGCCTCGCGAGGCGAAGAAGGTGGCATATGCCTTTCCGAGACCACCGCCAGCACCGGTGACGACGACGGTCTGGTTATCGAAGCGCAAATCGGACATTTTCAGATGAGGTTGTGAGGATGAAAGAGAGAAGACAGGAGATCCGAGGTGAGGTTCAAGTTCCGTACTCTCCGCACGAATCTCCGCGGTTAGTCAGAAGAGTCAAGGAGAGGAGATATAATCAAACGATAATATAAGGATAAGTTAGGTATTAGAGTAAAGATAGGATACAGAGGAGAATAAAAGAAAGAGAGGGGGAGGAAATCCGGGGGTATTAAGAACGGTCGCGCAACAGCTCTCGGTTGCTTCTGGGACCTCGGCTCGGAGTTGAACTGGAAACGATGTAATTAATTACGGTACAGGGAATGTACTTGTACTTCACATGCCGATGTCTGCCGTTCTTCGTTGATTACATTGAATTACATCTGACAATTCCGGGGAACTTCATATTACAGATAATCATTCATTATTGCCTGTGTTAAGTTATCCTGTTCGTTCATATGCGCTTGATTACAGAGTTATGTACATAATTAACTATGTACAAACGCTGACTCAAACACGTGATGCATAACTAGTTATGCAATACGTCATCGTCATGTGCTTCTGAACCAGTGCATACTCTGTACATGCTCTGGAAGAAGATATCTATAATAAAGTCAATTTTATATAGTTTGAAAATGAATAGAAAGATTGTAGACATGCGCCATGCCCTCAAAACATTCAGCCTAAACAATCCCCCCTCCGCTCGGATTTCTCTCCGCTCTGCGACTCGGATATATATCTCTCCCCTCACGTACACCCTACCACACATACAACAGTCCAAAAGATCCAGAACAACAAGCACAATGCCAGAAATTATCGACGACAAATCCCAACACTGCGTCCCCTTCCTCCTCGACCGCGTAAAAGCCCACCAAGCGCGCTATGCTTCGAACCCGGACCAAGCCCCGCCATTGTTTCTGGGGTTGAATGGGGTTCAGGGTGCTGGCAAGACGGTCCTGGTAAGCGCATTTCCTCCCCAATATCTGATTCTATGCTAATTGTATATAAATAGGTCTCGACACTGCAGAACACCCTCCGCAACCCCCCCTACTCCCTCCCCGTAATAACCCTCTCCCTCGACGACATCTATCTCACCCACGCCGACCAAGAACGTCTCGCTACAACAAACCCGCAAAACCCCCTCCTGCAACATCGCGGCCAGCCCTCCACGCACGACCTGTCCCTAGGGCTACAAGTCTTCGAATCGCTGCGCGAAGGCCGGCCCACGAAGATCCCGCAGTATGATAAATCTGCATTTGGCGGGCAGGGGGATCGCGTGGATGAGGAGAAGTGGGAGGTTGTTAATAAAGAGGGGGAGGGGAGGGTTGGGGTGGTGATTTTTGAGGGGTGGTGTGTTGGGTTTCGGGCGTGGAGTGATGATACGCTAAGGAAGATGTGGGAAAATGCGGTTAAGAGGAAGGAGGAGGAGGAGGGGGGGTATAATGGACGGCTTGGGCATGTGAGGTTTGAGGATGTGAGGGCTGTTAATGATGCATTGAGGGGGTATGATGCATTGACGGAGTATGTTTTTCTTTTCTGAGTTGACTCGGGGATGTGCGTATGCTAATTGATGGACACAGCCAGCTTGATGCTTTGATTCACATGTGAGACCACCTCTCGAGACTTGCTTGATCGCATACTAATTGACTCTAGCGACGCCCAAAACATCCACTACGTCTATGAATGGCGCCAGGAGCAAGAGCGCACTCTCCGCGCAACCAAGGGCACCGGAATGACCAAGGAGCAAGTTAACCACTTTGTTGATGGCTGTACGTTGCACCAATTCAATTTGCGCGGTAGAAACTAATGATGATAGATTATCCGTCCTACGAACTCTTCACGGAGACACTCCGGAACGGCGCTTTCAGAAAAGAGGGCGTTCCCGAGTCGGAATGGAAGGGGAAGCAGTTGCGCCTGGTTGTTGATAAGAACAGGAGGGTCCAGGATGTCCTTTTGTACTAGGACAAAGCTGTACACATACACAAGACAATACTACCAATCTCTACACGAAAAATAATTGGGTTGTCTGAACGTTTCAATTGGGAATCATAAAATCGTAGCGCTAATTGAAAACATGCTTGCCACCAAACAACCCATTAAAATACTTTTTATTTTTTTTTTTAGAAAAGAAACCCTCGCCCCAGAGCGAATCTAGTTCATCTGGCGGATGAGAGCGTTGATGTAGTCCTCACGGTTACCAGTGTCACCACCCTGGATGAAGTGCTTGACCTTGCGGGGGTGGAAGCCACCAGTGGGGTTGGAGAGCTTGAAGGGCCAGAGGAAGTTGTTGGCCTGCTTGAAGTTGGGGCCGACGGTGTAGATCTCGTGGATCAGGTCCTCCATGCAGACAATGCCGTACTTGCCGAGCTGCTCCTCGATGATCTGGTTGTCGGTGAGAGGAACACGCTGGGCGTTGACCTTACCGTAACCGCGCTTGTAGACAAGGTCACGGACGGACTTGAGGTTGGGGTAACCGTAGGCGATGTAGGGGTTGACGATGGTCAACATCTCCTGGGTGGCCTTGGTGAGACGGATGAAGACACCGTTGTTGATCTGGATCAGACGGAGGAGCTGCAAGATCTTGCGGGGCTGAGGAGCGATCTTGTTGATACCCTTGATACGCATAACGAAGACAAGCTTGGGCTCGTCAGGGACGTAGAAGTTGCCCTGCTGACGGGCGACACGACCGAGGCGGATCTTCTCACGCTCATCATCGCGGTACTCCTTGACGTAGGACTCGGCACGCTTGAAGATAGTAGAGCGCTTCTCCTTGTTGGCCTATAGTTTATTCAGTTAGCGTCGGTGTATCGAACAAACTCCAACAAAAATAAACAAGATAAGCATTGTCAGACCCGAAAGATGGTTAACAAGCGACAGCACTGACTTGGTAGGTCTAGTCGCGTGGTGTGTTTTATACATCATGTAATGAAGGAACGAAACAAAAAAGGAAAAATTTTTACTGACCTGCTTCTTCTTCTCGAGCTCCTCACGGCGGACAGCGCGAGCCTGCTCCTGGCTCTTGCGCTTCTTGAGGAGGGTCTCGGGGACGAGGACCTGGTCCTGGGTGGGAACGGTACTGTGAAGGTCAGTTCAGTCTGTCCGCAAGAGTAAAATTTCGCCGAGCGTAAGAATTGCAGCTACAGCGCCACATTCTCAACTGAAGGCTAAAGGGTAATGAACTCGACGAAATCAATTTGATCGGTGAGGCCGGATACGTTTGCCAGACCATCCGCTTCTGTTACTACTTGTGCATATTCCAGCAACAAGGCTCGCAGAGTTTTCACAGTGGTCCTCAACAAACAATATTGGATCCTCATCCGACAATACCCCAAGCATAACGCTCGGGAATTTATGTTGATGCCACTCGTTGCATTGTTTCCGGTCAAGATTTCGCAAGACCAGATCCAATCCAACGACAGCCCACAACAATATTTTTCAAGGAGAAAGCCATTGCGCTTTCAACCTCAACACCCCAGACACTTCCAATCCCTTCCCTCAGGTATATCAGACGAGACAGGTGTGAAAGGTCGCGGGAAAATCGAGCTGGTGCCAATCGGCCAGAATTGACCGAAGCATCTCCAGCGAGAAGGACGACCATAAACTGAACCTCACATGCTCGTTGCAAATCGAGGAGATTCAAAGAGAGGCATACGCAGCAGTGGAGGCCATTGTGACGGTCCTGAAAGAGTTCGCGAAGTTGGCGATGGGCGAAGGTTGTCGTGCTGGAAAGGAAGAGAAAAAAGTTCGGCGGAAGTTGAGAAAACGGGTTTGTGGGTGGAGTCCGCGCTAGCTGAGTGTGGTTAGCAAAGCCACTATCCCATGTTAGGAAACCCTGCCCTTATCTGATATCCGATAAGGGCTTGTGTCACATGGCTGATGCGGAGACAACAACGCCTCTCATCCCAACCTCGATCGCAGTACTCCGTACAGAGCACAGCGCATACTAATACCTCCATATACCACATGTCCACCCGTCGCGGCGTCGGCCTCGGCGCCTTCACAAACCGCACCCAAGCCACTCAATCCTACGCCACCCACGGCGCCAACCTTCGCTCCACGCATACTTCCTCCCTGCAAACCCAGCTCTCCGTCTTCCAATCCGCCCTGCACAGCTTCGCCCTAGAACACAGCTCAACCATTCGATCGAATCCCACATTCCGCGCTGAATTCGCGCGCATGTGCAATGCGATCGGGGTTGATCCACTGGCAGCCAGCAATGTGAAAGGGAAAAATGGACGGAGAGGACTACTGGGTGAGGGGGGTAGTTTCTGGACGCAGATTATGGGCGGGGATATGAATGATTTTTACTTTGAGGTTGCGGTGAGAGTTGTAGAGCTTTGTCGGGAGACGAGGAGTGAGAATGGGGGTTTGATTGGGGTTGAGGAGTGCCGGAGGAGGGTGGGGAAGGGAAGGGCGATTGGGAGTGGACTTGAGGTTACGGAGTATGCATCGTCCCCCGTCAGGTCACTAAAGACCATCTCTAACATGCTTACTTGGCAGGGACGACATCCTCCGCGCCATTAAATCCCTCGAACCCCTCGGCTCCGGTTTCTCCATCATCTCTGTCGGCAGCAAGCAGTACATTCGGTCGGTCCCCAAAGAGCTCAACACGGACCAGGCCACCGTTCTCGAAGCCATCCAAGTTTTAGGCTTCGTCAGCGTCTCTATGCTACGATTGAATCTGAACTGGGAGAGGGCAAGAGCGCAGACTGTCGTTGATGATCTTCTGGCGGATGGCCTGGTTTGGTTAGATGCGCAGGGCGAGGAAAACGAGTACTGGTCGCCGCAGAACCTGTTAGATGACAGTGGGTGAAAGTGTACTCTTTCTTCGACAAACATTTGTAGTCGACTTATCTCCGTTCCCAGCCCATCACGGTCCCGGCAGTCAGGGCCTTACCTGCCAACCTTCAATCTTCTCGCTTGAAGGAACCAGACAGACCGCATCGGGCATGATGCTCAACGTCTTGGACAGACCAGGTTATATACTTAGCTTTTATGCACATTCTGCTAATGCCAAATGGGAACCGTTTTCTGTCGAATTGATAATGCTACGCAAAAAAAAAAAAAAAAAAAAAAAAAAAAAACATACAACAGCCGGGATTCGCTGGTGGTCACCCACCCAACTACTAACCGGCCGGTGTGTGGCTTAACTGCGGATAATATTTCGGTGGGTGCCTCCCGGGTGAGTTAGAGGGTGATGCCGCTTTTCGGTCGTGCGACTGGGGGTGAGCCTGGGTGAGTGCGCTATAGAGAGAGTGAGCCATCACCCAACATCGCGCAGTGCTGCGCAATCTCAATCTTTTGACATCCTTCCAATCTAATGGTATGCTACAATGACTGGTAATTGGCTATCCTTTTCCAACTTCAAAACACTGAGCTATCGTGGCATCTGCACATAGCCACAAACAAATCTTTCCTTAAAAGTGATTCAGCATAAGGATAATCTTTTTACTATTGTCATTCTGCCAGCCCACCTTGCGGTGTGTAGTGGATGGTTAATTGGTTGATGTGTGTGTTTGTGTATCTATTTTATGTCAAGGGTCAGGTATAGACTGCGGACTAACCGCAAATGTGGTTACTACTTTGCTAACCACAACCGCAAATTGTGGTTAACCACACTGGCATAAATCTCGCTTGGCTATCCCATTCTGAATTATCATATGATCTTTATGCTGCTGACATACCACTGTAATTTAACTACATATCTTCACGTGTCATGTCATGTTGACAAGGCTCCAGCTATGTCGCCTGCATTCGAGGGTTCTTAGGCACGTTTATCAAGGTGATAGCCTTGCGGCTATCACACATGGACACAAGATATGACACTCTGATCACACCGACACCTGATGGCCTACTTCTCTCCTTGTTCCTTTTTCCTATAAAGCCTCGGGAAGCGTTCTCTATTAGACATCTCTCTAGACAAGAATCCATCTTGATTTTGAGGCACCATTTTCGCACCCTTTTTTCTCGCAACATTTCAGGATATTAAAGCCTTCCTCCCTTGACGAATTCAACGCTTTACAGTCTTTTTCATCCGTACTTTTTTAAGATGGATTCTTGGTTTCATGAAATTGTCGAACTTGAGAAGTTTGATTCCACCAAATCGCTGTTGACTCGCATGGATAAGAGACCAGATAAGTGTCAAAACATTCAGCCTGATAGAAAACCTAGCGACATCTCTGATGTCTACTCCAAGAAGGTGAGATTCAAAGGACCCAAATGTGTCTCTCGACCATGGATTGATGTTTGCTGGCTTCATACTTTCTCAACTTCCATCCGAAGCCGCGCCATTGCGGATTCGGCGTGGATTGGCGCGGATTTTGCGGCTTCATTGTGCCACTCTAGTGCAGACAAGGCTTGCAGTCACAGCCAGCTGCAAAAAATGAATGGGAATCAGGACCTGATCGTCGGCAGAGAGGTATCCGCATGGGAGGAACATACCAAAGCAGCCAGAATCATCCAATCATCCGAGGCTACTTTCGTTTGTTGCACTCAAAATCTGATATAGAATCGAAGCGCGACGAACACTGCTGCGAGAACATAGATTGTGATGACTGCCGCATTGTTTTTCTCGCGGTTGTTTGCAGAGAGATCAATCCTGGCCAGACTCTCGCTGAGCACGCTCTCCGACGTTGCTGTCAATGACTATTGGAGACTCATATCCGGTATATATGACGATATTTATATGGTAAATTGCTTGTTTACGGGCATTTAGGAAGGAAAGCAAATTTGCGACAAGCATTCATGAATCTTCAGGGCCCTTTCATTTATTTTTATTGACAGCTATCAAAGCTCGGACAATATGGGGGCGGCTATTAGCTTGATCCTGATCTCCACTTAGATAGGTACATGCACGACAGACTCACCTATAACTGGCCTAGCTTGGACCATCTGGGGGCCATTACTAGTAACTTGGTCCTGATCTCCACCTAGATAGGTACGTGCACGAACGACGGATTATAACCCGCCTATAAAGATTCTGTTCGGCGTGAGTTGCGGCCTTGGTGAAGTGGGAATTTTCGTTTGGAACGTTGCCGCTGTCACCTGCTCATCCAATATGAACGCTCAAATGGGTCTTAGGGCAGGGGTCTTGTGCATTAGTGCCCAATCGGCTCAATTGAGTTTTGCACCATCTGCCTTTTTCAGAACGGCATGCAGCGCCGTAGCTATTGAACGAAGAGGATTCACATCCTCGTCCTGCTGAGACGCCGGCTAATGCTAGAACTCACGCTAATTCAATCCCCACCTCACAACGGAAGGAAAACGGGAGCCATATCCTAAGTTCTCGGAAAATGGGCGGCTTTCCCGAACCCGGTAAAACACTATTCCACTGGGTAGGCCACTAATAACCCCTGAGTGCAGGGGTCTTAAAGGGTGTGAGGTTGCCGGCACGCACCCGGAAATGGAAAAACAGAGCAAAGTGAACGTCTATTCTGCTTAACTGTGATTATGCCGTCCAACGAGTTTTTTGGTAGCGAGGGCCTCACTGTGGACCCCAGCCAATATGCCTTCAAGGCGCGCAGGCTCCGAGTCGTGTGCATTGGCGCAGGATTCTCCGGCCTGAACCTGGCCTATAAGCTCAAGCACGATCAGACTCTCGATTTCGTGGATTTTACCCTCTACGAGAAGAACGAGGAGGTTGGAGGTACCTGGCTTGAGAATGTGTATCCTGGGGTAGCATGTGATGTGCCTGCTCACAGCTATGTCTTTCCTTTCGAACCGAACCCGTCCTGGTCCAAGTGCTATGCCGGTGGAGACGAGATTGAACAGTACATAATAAACACGGTGAACAAGCATGGACTCAAGGAAAAGATCATGTTCAATACCCGGTTGATCAAGTCTATCTGGAATGAAGAGCGAGGAAAATGGGGCCTCGAATTGGAGCAGAACGGTACGACCGTTATCCAAGATGAAGCGGACATCCTCATCAATGCCTCTGGAATTCTCAACCGGTGGAAAATGCCAAACATTGATGGCCTGAACCAATTCAGTGGAAAGGTTATTCACACAGCGGGCTGGGATAAGTCCTATGATTGGGCTGGCAAGAAGATCGCAGTCATCGGCAATGGCTCATCGGGAATCCAAACCGTGCCTTCGCTGCAGCCAAAAGCCACAAAGATTGTCAACTATATACGGCATCCCACATGGGTATCTGTCAATCTGTGTCCTGGCATCACCAAGGACGGAATGGGAACCAACTTCGAGTACAGCGAGGAGGAGAAAGCGCAGTTCAAGGACGACCCGGAGGCTTTCCTGGCCGAAAGAAAACGAATTGAGTGCTCGTAGGTTTGGTTTGCCTTCGTTCTGGCTCGGTATAGCTAATTCCGTGAAGGGTCAACTCTGTCTATCGACTGATGCTTTCCGGCTCTAAACTAAATAGATTTCTGCACAACGCAACTGAGGAACTCATGCGACAGCGGCTCAGCCAAAATACTGATCTGATTGAGAAGCTCATCCCCAAGACGGCGATTGGATGTCGCCGACTGAGCCCCGGCGATGGATATCTCGAGGCCATGCAAGAAGCCAATGCCGAGTGGTGCTTCGACGAGATCAAGAAGATTACCAAAACCGGTATCATCACAGAAGGGGGCGAGCAGGAGTTTGATCTGATTGTCTGTGCAACTGGCTTTGACACCACATTCACCCCGGGATGGGAGCTTGTTGGTCGCGACGGTCGGCGACTAGACATGGAATGGAAGGAGACACCGGAGGCATACTTTTCCATTTGCGCCGGTGGCACTCCGAACTACTTCATGTTTGCTGGACCAAATTGCCCGATTGGCCATGGCAGCGTACCTCAAATGCTGGCCTGGACTGCCGATTATATGCTCAAATGGATCAAGAAGATGGCCCGCGAAGATATCAAGTAAGAACTTGTCCAAGATAAAACCGCTCTATTGCAACTGATGTATCGTCTAGGTCAATCGCAGTCAAAGATTCGGTTGTCTGTAGCTATAACCGTCGGGCACAGGCTAATCTGAAGCACACGGTTTGGAGTACTGGCTGCAATGCCTGGTATAACAACGGGCGCGTTGTCACAGCAATGTACCCGGGCAGTGTACTTCACTACAAAGGCAAGTCTCGCAAGAGCTATGTCGGAAAGTTTCTGTGATTGATTGCTGACTTTCGAGTGTAGAGGCCATTGAGAACGTTCGTGGCGAAGATTTTGATATCCGTCATAATAACAATTTGGATCCCTTTTCATATCTCGGCAATGGCGAGCTTGAATGGGAGAGAGATGAGGGGGCTGATTTGGCGTTTTATTTAAAATAGGCGTGGTCGTGGGTGCTAGGGCCGGGGCTATATGTTTTGTTCAGAGTATCTAAGAGAAAAACCGAAGGGAACGATGGCATCGCTGGGGATCTGGCTCGACTTTCCCGGAGCTGTTCAATAGATTGTTGACATGATATTCTGGTGGGCCAACGGTATATTAGCAGCGTCGAGCACTGCCGGATCAAGCGAAAGAGATGCTTCCGCCGCTGGCGGTTTGGACACCTGGGACAGCAGAGGTAATAGGATACTTAGAAAGTGCCTATGTAGTGGAAAACCCGGACAAACCGACATCTTCTGGTATATACGGCAAAATAGTATTCGTTCCATTGCATTTACTACGCACCCTCGGGATAGCAGATGGGTTGGTTAGTATTGATATGCCTCCTCATTCATCTCATCTACTTCAACATTTGATATCAGCATCCATATTGAATGTGGCATTTTCTAATGCCAAATTTGATCCGCTCATAATGTCGACATTCGGTGGTTTTCGGTAAGCAAACGTGGAGATCTGGGGATGCGGGGGATCACCCCGGGCCCAACTCGATGATTAGCCTATTAGACCTATTGATTGAGACAGCACTTGGAGAAGGACTGGCCAGACTGAGTTGCAATCTCTTCAGCCCAAAAGAGGCCACCACAATCAGGGCATGGAATGTCCATGCAGCCAAAGTTCAGAGGTCGCCAGTTGGCAGGAGATGAGGTAAAAGCAGCGGGAACAGTGACCCGGGAAGCCTGACGAACAGCATGACGACAGAGCTCACAATTAACATTCCATGAATTAGCTGGTAGAGCTGCACCACATGAGGAGCAGGCACGGTGTTGACCACCAATGGCATGGGAAGCGGCTCGACATGGAGTACATCTAACATAAGAAGAACGCCTAGAAAAGATGACACCACAGGCAATACAATAATGGTGGGGGGGGGTTGGGGGTCAAGAGCAGGACCACGGGATACAGAGGCTTCAACACAGACAGGGCAGTGGCTGTCTCGGCCAGTTTTCTGGAACTGACGACGGCAGGTCAAGCAAAAGATAGATGATGGAGGCATGTCAAAATGCAGAAGATAGAGACCAATGCAGAGAAAAAGTAAAAGGCAGAAAAATGCAGCTTGGATGTAGAGAAAACATACTGAACACAGAAAAACCAATGAGATATTTATGACAGAGCAGCCAACCTCAAGGGCTGTGATAGTCGGTAGAGTTGCATTCGGCGCGGATTCCTTCTCACTAGCAGAGCTTAGAGTGCCATTCTAACAATCACCTTACCACTCCAACTGGTATCATGCCACCGCAGTACTTGTATGCAATATAACCCTTCTCTTGACATCTTCTTAAAGAGCTGTTCTAACCTCTTTTTCTTTGCTCAGGGCGCGGAACCCTATAATGCCTTCCAGGATCGGGAACGACGAGAGGATCGAAACTGTCACGGGCTCGGAAACTAGCAGATAAAACGAATAATATTCATATCTAGACTAGGTAGCCCAACGACGAGAATATCGAATCTGGGGAAGAAGAAGAAAAGGAAATCTATCTAGGCGATGGACGGTCTGTATAGGCATTTGTGTGGTGCGGCTTAAGCCCTTGTTTGCCCATATTGCTTGTATGGCATCGTTTGATATGTTGGCGCTGTTTGTCTGACGTTGAGCCGTCACAGAAACCCTCATTGAATATATCCATAGGTTTTGTGACCAGCTCCAATCCTCCAACCATGCTTTTTGGGAAGAGAAAGCTAACTGCTTTATCACAGTTTCCGTCCCAATCAGTAGGTCTCTCGAGTGGTACATTTTCATTCAATGTTCATCAGACAATATTGACGTCATTTGTATAAAAGTAGAGCTCAAATACTAGGCGCTTGTCGGCATTAGATTTACTTTCCCAGCACCCCATCACATGTGAGCAACGCCAATCCGTTGGCGGGGTGTCCTATATGAGTCATTGTAAGGTATTGTAACGACACCATTGAATTTCCCATAAATTGGACCACTCCTAGCAGAAGGCCTGGCAACTGGCATCTCTACCCTCTACCAGCATCTCAAAATGTCTTCAACATACGATGTCCTTGTCACCGGCTCGGCTGGCCATCTCGGCACCGCTCTCATGCTCACCCTGCCCTCTTTGGGATTCAAACCCCTGGGCATCGACACCCTCCCTTCTCCCACCACAACAATCGTAGGCTCCGTTAGCAATCGCGATTTCATCGCCTCTATTTTCAGTTCCAACCCCATCAAGCACATCCTTCACACTACAATACTGCACAAACCGCACATATGCAGCCACAGCAAGGATGATTTTATATTAACCAACATTCTCGGCACTCTAGTTCTCCTCGAAGAGTCCTCCAAGTTCACGTCCCGAATTGAAAGCTTCGTTTTCTTCAGCACGACTAGTACTTTTGGTATGGCACTAAACCCTAAGCCGGGCTCGCCCGCCGCCTGGATCGATGAATCCGTGATATCCGTGCCGAAGAATATCTACGGAGTGACAAAAGTTGCGGCGGAGGATATGTGCGCTCTGGTGCAAAGGGAGAGAAATTTGCCCGTGTTGATCCTCCGCACGAGTCGCTTTTTTCCCGAGGAAGATGATGATGAAGACCGGCGTGCGGCCATGGGGGATGGCTTACCGGCGGTGTGATATTGAGGATATTCTCAGCGCGGCAATCTGTGCGATGGAAAGGGCAAGGTAGATTAAATGGGGGAAATATATCATCAGTGCACCGCCGCCTTTTGACAGCGATGCGCATACACTTGATGCGCTAAATCGGGATCCAGCGGCAGTGTTAAATAAGATCTTCCCAGAACTGAATGCCCTTTTTAAGGAAAAAGGGTGGAAGCATCTCGAGAACATTGATCGGGTGTATGATTCAAGTAGGGCTATTAGGGAGCTGGGATGGGAACCTAGGTATACGTTTGAGAAGACGGCGGAGATGTTGTTGAGCGGCGAGGAATGGAGGAGTGAGCTGACGGCAAGAGTAGGTAAAAAAGGGTATCATTCTGTGAGCACAGGAGTATATACGAAGCGATGAACTCCGAGGCAAAGGGGTATCTCAGCAAGAATTCCCTGGGGGAGTAAGGGTGTAAATGATTTATTTGGATCTGTCATTGAATATCAGATGTTTATAGCTCAACCAGGTCGTCAATGGTGTAATGAGAGACCAAAGTGCCCTCGCTTGCCTGCTGCATTTTATTCTCAACAACGGTGTCAATGTTCGCCCGCTCCTCTGCAGTGAGCAGACCAAATCGATCCTCGATTGTTGTAAACGGACCATAAAATCTCGGATCAATGAACTTCCAATAGATTTCATCAAACATAGAGCTATGCCGTGAAGCAAGACAAATCCAAAACAGTCCAGTCTCCAATGATTTCTCCATAGCGGTTGATAGTCGTTGAGATGGTGACAAAGAACTATCTTCAATTTTCTTGGTCTCACAATCCTTGAGAACCTCAAGAAAAGTGTGAAATCTTGGCATATAACGCACCAAGAATTGATTGAGATTAGTTTCCCAGTCCTCTGGTCTCTCTAACAAGAGCCACGAAGGAACTGCGTATGTAAATTCAACAGGAGCAGCATAGGTAAACTCCCAATCAACCACTCCAGTGACAGAAAGCCCTGATGCATCAACAAAGACGTTGTCAGGATGTAGGCCATCACAATAAAGCCGGAAAGGACCATAGTAGTTCTCTTTGGGTATATCGCGTGACAACTTGCGGAAAAGACAACGTGCGATATACTTCTTTCGGCAGTCGGCCTCATCTGTAACTGCATTGTTTCGTTGTAGCTCAAAATGGTGGTAATGTTGACGAGCAAGCTCCTCAAAATAATCCGCTGCATTGTTGAAACGTTGTTGACTGAAGATATTTTCGGGAATATTAGAGAATTGGGCGAGTCGATTCATGTTGAAAGTAAGTGGTCGTTTTCGCACAACCCACTCGGCCTCGTACTTCCTCACAGCTCCAATACATGGGAACTCAGGCTTCGACAGCTCCAGCAGGACCTCAGCCATGCCAAAGTAAGCTCTCCTCAAGACAGACATGGAGATACTTGGGTGTAACGTGACTATCTCCCGAGACGGATCTCTAATATATCAAAGAGAAAATGGTGTACTGTCTCTTTAGAGGAACCACATCCTTGGCAGGTTGCATCTTCTTGAGCCTGAATCTGGTGTAAATATGTTCCAGTGGCTGCATGCCCTGACTTCAGTTGAAAGTAGCGGCTTGCCAGGTGTTTCGGAGCCGCTGCAACCAAGGGGTTGAGCTGCCAGTTTCTCTGTGGCCTGTACCATTGGGATTGTTGGCTGAGTTTCCTGGCAAGCCATCTCTGCTTTTGTACTGTAATGGCCTCCGTCCGGGCTCTCTGGGCAAAAGCAAGAGAGATCTCTTTTGAGCCCCTTCCTGGAGGCTTGTTAGCCGCCTGCTTTGCTGCCTGGTCAGCTCTCTCGTTTCCTTCTACCCCCGCGTGTCCCGGAACCCATTGTATGGTGGGTTGGCGATCTTGGGCTTGTAGTTTCTTGGCTATAGTGTGTGCTTGAATTGCTAGAGCTTGACCTGGCCCGGGATGGGTATGTTGTAGCCCTGCAATGGCGGCCTGGGAGTCCAGCAGAACGGTGATTGGTCTCTGGCCTCCCATCTTCCATGCTACTTGGAGTGCTTGAATAACTCCAAGAAGTTCTGCATCAAAGACCTCATATCCCTTGCCCAATGGGAATCCCTGGGTCTTTCAAGCTCCTCCTGGCTCCTGTCATACAATTCCTGCTCCGCATATGCCATTTTCTAATCTCGAGCCATCTGACCAGATTGTCAGTCCAGGAGGAAGGGCTCGTGCAGATGCAAGGGCCTCTGCACTTGATGACACTTCTATTCAGCCAGGAAATGTCACGGAGCAGGGATGCTCGCGAGCTGTATAGCATGTTTGATCACTTTGGCCTGTTTGGCGTAGGACATTCACTGAGCATTCGCTTAAACCCATCACACACACTTGATAGCTCGTCGCCAGCAGGCCTGCCTTTTTCCTTTCTCTCCTCATGTTAGAATTTCGTCAGATAGTCTACCAATATATTCATATTGCTCGAGACCGTCACATCAGGTGTGGGTGTCTCATTACATAGGTCAGGACTCGGGGCCTATTTGACCAGTCCTCAGTCGGGGCAAGTTGGTGGAATGATGGATGGTGTTTAGATATTCGACGGGAGCGGTCTGTAAATATCCAGGGCTCCTGGATTAGCACTGCATGGCAGTTATTTTCAAAAGCCAGTTGTAGCGCAGTTTCGTGCGCTTCCCAGTTTTAGCCAACATTCAGTTGGAGGATCTGTAGATGAGATAGCCTATCTAACATGATTGGGGCTGTTCTCTTGTCGGTGAGGAGCCCAGGTTTCTAGAAGCTTCAGTTGTAATAGTCTAGTCTTATAGCATATATTCGCATACACCCGCTTTCCTGACTGCAATGAATTGTGATCTGGATAGCCTTTGGATGACTCCTTATTGTATGGTAGGTCTGGCGGGGCAGTTTGAGTGATCTGCTGGGGAAGGTCCGCATTGATTGGTGCAGCATGGGTCTGGTGTCTCATCCTCTTCGTGGGAGGAATGGGTCTCTTCTGCGTGGTCCCTCTTGCTGTAAATACGGCACCTGGGTGTTTGGGTGCAGATCCGGGGGTTATGGTAGTCCCAGCATCGTGTACACTGCTCTATACGGGCTTGGATGGGTTTGTGTTTGACTTGTACATTCTTGCCAAAAAGGTGGACCCATTTTGGGATAGCTTGAGCTTTGGTCTCTGAGACAGCCATGATAAATGTGTTGGATAGCGGATTCTTAGTTGATCGGTAGAACTTTAAAGGGGAATAGCATTTCTGAATTAACTTAAACCTTCGATCTTCTGCAGTCATATGAAAGATGAATAGCGTCACAAGTCAGAACTGTCTCTAGAAAGACATAAGGCTGAAAAATGAAGAATAAAAAGGTAATGCTCAAGCGAAACAATAGCCTATTTATGCCAAATAGTCTTTTAGAAGTACAGAACTGTTTGATTTCGCAAGGCCATTCTCACCCACTCATCACCCTGCTCACCCACTGATCACCCCAACACTCACCCTCGACTCCAAAGGCATCACCTCAATCATCTGCACCCAACTAGAGCTCACCCGGGTATTAACCTTAGAGCGACAACGAGAAAGGGGCAAAAATGACAGTTGGCCGCGCTTAACATGTGGCTTAAGTACGGCTGGGCGGATGGGAAGCCCTGTTCTTCACACCCTATGGTCGTATGAATTTAGCTGTTATTAAAAGTTAGATATATACATAATGAGCAGTATCAAACCGTTAAGTTTCTGGCACTGATGTCTACAAATGAGGTTCACCTGCAACTGTCTCGTAGTGAATCAAGCGATATTATTATCTACTATACTAGCTACTCGTTTGCTAGTGTGATTTCATTCATACTGACTACTGCCTCGCTGGTTATTCGGCGTCGAGACGCTCCTTTAATCAATACGCCCAAGTTATACCTTGCGGCGTTAGATAATCCAACTCGCGGATCGGAAGCTTCTTCATGTATCGCATTTGAATAGAAGTCGGATATTAGACGGGTGGTATTTAGATAATTATATTGACTAATATAACCTGTACATGTCATGCAACATCAAATGGCGTAGCTTGTCAAGTCATTAATATACAGAAGCTCACACAGCTATTCCTTCCATAATTTTGTCAATATCAAGATCCATGGATGTATAGTCAAACAACTCCGGGCAAACCCCACTTTTAATACCAAGAATATCATTGTCAATTGTCTTCGCATTATTGCATGCTGGGTTTGACATGCAAGGATTCAGGTCATTCTGCACATCTGAGGTAGGGGCTACCTCGTTGGCAGGTGCAAAGCAAGAAGACGAAAATGCATAACCGGCGTGGGTGTTTGGATTCGCTTGGGCGGTTCCCATAGGCTGACGTTGGCTATCCAGCCTCAACAACGACTTGACAGTCTCTTCCAGTAATGAAAGCCTCTTTTCGAGGTAATCAACTTTGACTTCCATCATGTTAAAGCTAGTATCAATGGATACTGCCGGCATCTTTCCTTTCATCGATATATCGCCAGGTTTAAGGTGATTTCGCCAAGCCACTGTGAGAGAATCGTTGTTTTCCACCAGAGTAGCAGAAGAGCCGCTTGATGATTGTGGGGTTGAAGATCCAGAGCCTTGTCTCCCATGGGGCACTGGAAATGAAGGTGAAGATGAGGTAAGACCTATATCTACGGGGGATGAGAGTGCTTTCACAGAAGCTTCAAAGTCTAAGTAATCATGAATGTCAGTAAGTGTTTTGTGAAGAGCTTGAAGGTATGTCCGAAGGAGGGAGGGGGGTATTCCTACATAAATCCTTTGGCACAGGTACATTGGGGAACCTGGCTGTCCATAAGCCAGCCCAGCGTTGTTCCTGGGAGCATCGTAGCTGAACTGTACATGCCATCTGATGATCTCGACGCAATTGATCACTGTCAAAGGAGCGAAGACATTTTCCACAGACGAATTCGTTGTGGTTTCTATAAAGGTGTCGTCTAGAATATGTATTAGTTGAGTGTATGGAATGAAAAAAGAGAGAGAGAAGGAAAAAGAAAAAAGCTGACATTAACTCTGAGACATATTCAAATCCTGGCCCAGCACAAACCCGATATTGGCGATTTTGAACCCCGTATTTCGATGGATCAAATTTGTGATAGACACAGGCAAATTTCCTTTTATTTTGGGCTCGCGAAGTGGAGCAAACGCGTCTTTTTTTCCGGCCTGGTATATCATCTTCATCGTCGGATGGAGAGCCTCCATTCCCACCTGGGAATTGATCTTGACCTGGGAATGGGCGAGTCGTGCTCTTACCGGGATTATGGGCTCCTTTATTAACTGTGCCTTGTTGCTTCTGGGCGGAAGAATGCTGTGCAGTCGAGGAGGAATTGCTGTTGTCTCGTTGGGCGTCGTCGCCCGCCTCCATTGGCGGGTCATAGAGCTGTACTCTTCTGGTTTCCTTGTTACCAGTAGAAGATGTGCGTAGTACTCTGGGACTTCTTCGAAGACGGGATTGTGGATGTGACGGTCCTGGTATTATCTGACCCGCTAAGTCTTGGGGACCATCTACCCTGCCAGACATGGAACTGTCTTCGGTGGCTGCAGGGACGGAGGCGAGATACCTTGGGAGATTTGCGTCTGCATTACTTGAAGCCCATTCAGCGGACTCGCGCTTCCTGTCTTTGTCTTTCTTATTCACCACAGTAGAGGCAGTACTGCAGGGTGTAGCATCCAATTCAAAGGGACCTCCATTTGCAACAAACGAGTACGACAATGGACCGCCGGAAGAACGCACAGTTTGTTGGGCCTGAGGGCTTCTTTGTTGGACTTGAGGACTTATCTGTTGGATTTGAGGGCTCATTTGCCAATGGATATCCTTGCTCTTGATAACAACTCCCTTTCGACATCTGACGACGGGTCGAAACACAGGGTTCTGCATGAGTTCTTCTGCCACCCTCTCTTGCCATCCCGAACGCCGATTTGTCCGGTAACTGTCGTCTGTCTTCATAATATCCTCACAGATACCGATTGTTGATCGAGTACATGTTGGACTGTCCAGTATCGCAGTTTTTATCAGTTGGGTGTAGTTTTCGTTTGACTCCGCTCTGCAATTTGCCACATTTGGTCTTGGAGGTATATAATGTGTCGGATCGAGCTTTTTCAACGTCCTTTGGCACCATTTCCTGAATATGGCCCTGAAATGGCGTTGCCTCGTATCTCTGCTTGGATTGTACGCCTGAGACCGCAGTCAGAACATTCTTTGGAAAGCACCATATTTAGACGATGAAGAAATGGAAAGCAGAGATCAAAGTACTTTTTTTGTTGGCTCGGAGCCTGGTTTTATTGGATTTGTTGCTGGCACAATGCACTCATCTACCAAGGTCTTTCCACCGGAGCTGCAAGACAATAAATAGGAATCGTTCAGAACATGAATTTCGTCGCTCATTTGAGCCATTTTGTTTTCAATAGGGAGTATGGTACGGTTAGATTGTGAAAGCTCCCGACGATGCGCGGGGAAAGGGGTGGATATTTATTGCCTGGCTTGTCTTGTCAAGCCTTGTCAATTGTCAAGACGCAGCATCGGCTTGGTAATCACTTTGTCAATTGTCAAGAGTCTTGTCCTTAGTTACCAACAGTGTCGCCAGAAGTCAAGCCGGTTTGGCCCAAGCTTTTGACAATTGCCGTTCGATATGGAATATATAAGTCGGTTTCTTTGGGACAAGATCGCAATGTATATCGCTCCTATTACCGCGGTTCCAATCTACTGACTTTTCTATTTATTTTATTTTATCTTTTGTTTGCTCTCTGAAATCGGGATTTACATTCCATTCCTCGTCATGGAAGCCCCGTACGACAATAACACTACTGTCGCAACCATGTCCAATGCTGCTGGACTGGCGGATATCGCACACGGAACTTTCAATCCCCTGAACCTGACTGACGATCAGCCACAGAAGGTCAGTGTGTCAGCTGACGCCGAGTATCCTATAACTACAATGATCGACCCCGGATGGAGCCAGCTCTTCCTGCCCAATCAGGTTCAGGTCCATACACGCAGCTCCAGCCACTGTGGCGAAAGGATCCAGCAGATCCTCCATGACTATCATAGCAATGCTGCTGCCTGCATTGACCCTGGTCTCGGTCTAGGGCTTATTCCACCAATTTCAACGGAGGACCAAAATCGAAAAGTTCACCAGGAAGCTCTCAAGGAAAGGTCAATCAATTGTTTATATCCCCATGAATATATATATGGTGGCTAATATCTCTCATAGTAGCCCGACACTACAATGTAAATGGCAAGGCTGCACATATTCCAAGCCGTTCTCCCGCACGGGCGATTTGGTACGCCACATCAAATCAGCACATCTCACCCGGGGTCAATATCACTGCCCATTCAAGGCTGGTTGTAAACCATTCAACAGAAAAGATAACCTGGCCGCTCATATACAAACCAGACACAAAGCTGCTTCGCGTGAGATATAACCAAGGAGATTATTATTGCTTTTGTCTATTAAATTAGACCTATGTATTTAACATTCATCGTTACAATGTGGAAGTCGAATGTTTTATCAGAAAAGAATGTGCAGTTTGGTGGTTATGTGATGTTAGACGCATAATGTATTGTGGCGTTGTGTACACCCCATACTCTGAGGCACGCTTATTACTTTATGTTCAGGTCCATAATCTGGTGCTCATGCCTCGCTAACTACTGGCTGGGTTGAGAAGACCACATCTAGGACATCATGGTACTTTTAGTCTCCATTATCATCACAGTTGATCTTCATGAGGGGGTTTATGGGAGCTCAAATGCTCTGCACTCTGCCTGCTGACGCCACTTCACATCCAGGGGGAGATTTTTGCCGTCATGATATATTGCGAGATTTTGAAAGAGCAATCGACGGTGGTAAGCCGGAGTGCAACCTCGGCAGTAATTCCCCCTCGCAGTTGACTGAGCAAGCTTTCTCATAGTGGGTTCATGTCAGAGCTCGAAGGAACTCCTTTGCTGTCAAGGCTTCTGGCAGTGGCTGCGGATGGGGAAAGGGAACTTGCGAGAGATCACAAACTGCGTCTCTTGGTGATAGTTGAACCATCATATCCCTGCCGAACTGGAATAAGTAGAGATCAGCTTTGGCTTAATAATTAATAATCAGCTTTGGTTTGAGAATAACTGTCCTTTTTCATTTTTTCCTTTTCAATACCCCGTTCAATATGGCGAGTCATGGCTACCAAAAGGCGCAAACTAAAAGGAAACCATTACTCAACCAACACGTTCTGTCAGTATTTCATAAGATCGTGCTCGCAATTCTCATCTTCGCCCCCCTTCTTGTCTGGTTTGCATCCATTGACAGCATAGATGCACGGTCGCACTCGATGTGCAGCTACCGAAATCGCCTTACCAACCGCCCTGAAAACCAAACACCCCTCTTCCCAGATTTCGACCATGTCTCAGGCCTAAATGGTACAGCGACAAGCGCCATAGGCCATTCAATTCCACTCAATGACATTTTCTCCAAATTCTACACCGTCAACATGGTCTTTGGGAATTACTCCTTCACCGTAGCCAAGGCGATTGACATTGTATGGGACATTATTGTCGGGCGCGGCGGACAGGCGCTTCTCTTGTATGTGCTCTCGCGCATTCTTTGTGAGGTTCTGCATATGCTGCTGGAAAAAGACTCAATGGCGTACGATACCTTTGCGTCGCTATCGCTTAGTGGTCCTACTGCCTGGGGGCTCTGGATGCTCGGCCGCGATGTGTTTTCCACCGCCCAGAGGAAAAAAGCATGGTTCGTCTCTATGGGCGTATCTTTGCTGTGGGTGCTGTTTTTCCCGACTGTGATGAGTTCCATGGCGGGGTACATTGCTTTGAGCGAGCCATATGTTTAAGCTGGAAGATAAAGGCCTCATGCCGTGGTACGATTTTACCCTACGCTGGTCAGAACATCCGGCTGCGCGTGTAGCAGATGGAGATCGTATTGGGCTGCAACCTAATCAGGTTATTTTCAAATCGGATGGTGAGCAGATTTATAAGGCTCTTCAGAACTGTATGTTTGTGTGCCTCTTCCGGATGCTCACCTTCACGTTGGTCTAATCAGTCATCTTTTCTCTCGTCCTATGCAGACACATAATTTCTCTACTACTGCCCAAGCATCGACGTAAGAGAGTCATACTGCGAGCCGAGCATTGATCCATTGACTATTTACGGGACAACATACAACCTGACGACTTTCCAGCCACGACTGAATATCAAGATGCCATGTCAGGTCTACGATGACACCGTTTACTGCGAGGAAGACTTCATAGGTGACACATCCAGCCGAATCCGATGTATAGGCAAGGAGACCTATGCGTGGGGATTTCCAGAAAGCGCTCTGACTATGCCTGTGTCATTGCACGCGGTCTGGTGCCTGGGCTTGCTCGCTATGCATTACCTAGCGACGCGACAGTCTCAAGCCCCGAGATCTCAACAGCAGAAAAGGTCTGGCACGCGATTGGGTGCGATCAGAGGAAGCTGTGATTTGGCCTATGCAGTAGAAGAACAGCTCGGTATGGAACGGGCACAGGCCTCTAATGACTGGGAGCTGGTCCGGGACTTATCGGCATTGCATACAAGGCTCCGATATCGAGATGGCTGGGAGTTTGAAGGTAATGGTACAAGGGCAATCACCATTAGTAATTGAGACGTGGTTTAGCATCATTTCTCCATAATGGTTAGAGTTCTTTATATGAATTTCCTATTCATTTAGTAAATGGCATCCCTTCGGCCATCATGAAAATGTTTCGTTTCTCGCCATGATGAAGATCTCAAATAGCCTCCATTGACTTAAAACGCCGACCGCTGTGCACCGATGGCCTTGTTTGACCAATCTGTCAGCTAACCATTTTTTTTGTGTTTGAATAAGTACGTATTATCTATCATATATAAAATTGTCCGACTATAGCAAATGATAATCCCGGTTATTGCATGAGTCTAAATGTTCAACCAATGACTACCAGAGCAACGGAGCAGGGAAGGCATTTCTCCAATTGTCAACCCGAGAACACATCTGTGCGCGGTTATTATGGTGACGACAGTGTACCAGTTCAGCCAGCTTGTAGAGTTCATCCTTGAGCTTTTGCGATGAATGACTGGGGGTTTTCAATGAACAAATTTGCGTGTTGATATCCACTTTTTTATGATACGATATTCGATTTTTGCAAGGATCTCCTTTTAGTGTGGTACATCCACATTTCCAATTGCCGATCCCAAGTTTAGTTTTCAACTGTGAAAAATTCGGCCTGGTTTCATCCTCTGCTGATGCTTTGTCTTCGCTCGTAAACTTTGACACCTTTGGCGGAGGACTTGTTGGCGGAGTATAAGGCAGGGCAGGCAGTATTTTTAACGAGCGATGCTTTTCTTCATATTTGTTCCGGGCTGTCTTTTTAAGCTCATCCGTCTGTGGTGGTGAACTGGGAGGACTTATATCTGCGAGCGTCGTCTTGGATACCATATTCCCATGAGTGGTGTCGGTGAAAGACATGGCAGAAGAGGAAGTGATGGTTGTATAGCGGGGTTTTGCGAAATGGCAAAGGTAAGCCTAGCGTACCTATGAGGGATGTCACGGGCTCGGAATAGAAGATAATAACGAACTGAATTCCTATCTTGACTATTGTAGCCATCAACGAGAATATCGAATCTGGGGAGGAAAAAAGGAGAGGAAATCTATCTGGCGAGTACAGTCTTTATAAACCTTTGTGCGATGCGGCTTGAGCCCTTGTTTGTCCATATTGCTTGTATGGCATCTTTTGGCATGTTGGCACTGTTTGCCTGGTCGTTGAGCCGTCACAAGGGAAATAAATTGTTTTGGTGCTTAGTTCAAGTCCGGAATCCTTTGATTATATACGTGAGAGTATTATATTGCTGATGCAGGGTTTTGGCGGCTAATCATTTGTTGGTTATATGGGGTCTGAGACAAAGGTATGGCGCTAAACAAAACACCATGGATTTGGCAAAACCAAAGTACTAATACCATGTTGAATGGACGAATCACAGCATGATCTCTCAGAGACTTCCAATTGAGTGATGTTGCCTGCACGACAGGCTCTGAGTATTTTCTTATTCCATTTATGCCAGCTATTTTCATGTTGAATTAAACCAAATAGGCTAGTTACCTTCCTAAATAAGTTAGTAGATGAGTTTTGGGTCCAAAAGTTGGACTCTAACTTGATTCGATGACACGCTACATCGGCATTATCATTGGCATTGGTTTCACCACTGGCACTTATTGTATGTTTATATTAGAATACAAGGGCATTTCGAGGGTAGGGATTACACATTTGGTGGATAAGGTAGATAAGAATTTTGGGGGGGGGGAGGTGGTTGTACAACGGCTACATTGCGGATAAAGGGACATGGACCACAGAGGTATCGTGGAGGCCTGGAGATGTAGTTTGAATGTGGCATTGTTACAAATGTAAACTAGGAAATAAGGGCGTTGCCGCCAGGATTGCGGCTGTGCGGTACTGGGACAGCAGAGGGGCATCGGCGATACCGTTGCTGTCCCCGAGAATACGTAGAATCGGGCCGCACAGCGGCTGGGTTTTGACCGAAAAATATTTTGTTAAAGCTGGAAACATTTTCAATAGAGTGGATACTGTACTTGGACCAAGGGGCTTGTGCCATCCGTTCGATTCCAATGTTCCCGCTATTTGTTAAAGCACCAAACTCCCGGGACGGTCCGTCAAACTCTATTTAAGTGAGGGCTGGGTGCTGTTGATTGGCCAGCACGCCTTAATGATAACAGTGGTCATTGTGAGATCAGCGGCTACAGGTGGGCTGTGTCTGATCCTGATTTTAAGCGAGGTGGCCAGGTGGGGACGTTTTTTGACCCCGCCTGTGTTATGCAGGTCGTTGTCTATTTGGCACAGTACAAAAGTACATGGACATAACTCCCCGTCGATGTGTCGAGGTTAGTGTTGAAGTTCCTGTTTCGATACTGTCTTGGTACCGTATCGGTACTGTATCGTTTTGTCACCCTGACCGCACTACTGTGTATTGCCATGTTAGAACTAGACCTGTTTCATGTATGTATATAAAGGGGTCTCTTGGCTCAGGAGGCCCATGGTCAATCAACACACAATACAACTTCTTTACAGTCATAACAACAACTACCTATAACACAAGAGGTTTCGTTGAAGAAGAAAGGAACGAATGTCCGCTCGGACAGCTCTATCTACATATGTGCCATGCGGAGTGGGTATTCTATTAGTAATCCCCCCCCGGTCGTCTCTCCCATTAAGCATACCGTTTATGCGACAGGCGCAGCCTGTGACATAGATCCCATAGTGGCCACGCCTAACTGAATAGTAGGTGATTCCCCAAGTCCAAAATATGTCCTATTCGACTTGTCCTCCACTCACTGGCTAACAGACGAAGTACATACATCACTGCAAACCAACTTGTGTCCTCTTTCAATCTTCAATGTCCCTAAATGACGCCTCCAGATCTGACTTGGCCTGCTCTCCATCTCCTTTTTTGAGGTTAATTGTGCATTTCGCCAGGATTCTGTGGCTGTCCTTTTGCGCAGATTTCTTGACTTCCGGATCGTCAGCGCCCTTGTTGGCTTGTATAATGATTTCATGTTGGGTGTCGCTGATCTTCGCCCCTTTGTCAATCCGAAAGTTGAGTTTTTTGTCCTGGCTTCCAGTAGGCCAAAGTCGCTGTCCCCTCTCCGTGCTCTCAGCCTTCTTGAAGACTTTAGCCCATGGGATTATACCAACGTATTGTCGGAAAGTCTTGTAGAGATCATAGTCAAAATGGTTAAGAAAGGAGGGAAAGTGAATTGCCTTGTATTTTCCGAGACTATGAAAAAGAAACGTCTTGATGTCCTGAAGTTCTTCTTTGAGAAAGCAAACTTCGATGATTACTATTGATGAAATACTTAAAGATGCACAAAAGTCAGAAGACAAGGAAGTCATGTCAGTGGTGAAAACTGGAGTTGCGAAACTGAAGAAGCGACAATCCAAATGGTGGCAGTTCTGGAAATAGACATACGGAGATACACTGAGTTGATGCAGCTGAATGGGCCAGCACATGTGTGCGGTGGTTAGAATGAATCCCATGCTTATGCAAATTAATGCAAACAGCTCCATACAGCCAATCACAGCAATTCTCTCGTGAGTGGGAATCCTAAAGAAGTTCGTTTAGGGCGACCAGAAAAAAAATAAAAAATAAAATAAAAGAGGGCAGCTAGATATATAGATATAGACAGTATTTGCTGATGAACCGAGATATGACTCGCTCCTTCTCGAAGCCAGCCTCTTTTGTTTTTCTTTGGGACAATGCAGGCTGTCAAGTATAGTTCAACTGAGAGGTGGCATTGTGGAATTGATCAGGACTGCAGAATAGTAGCGCCATGGTTAGAGATGATAGCGAGAATGACCTCGTGTCATAGCCGAATATACTGCAACTGCATCTGCATCAGTTCCCTGTCTCAAGGATAAACATTTAACCAAAACTTACAGAACGCAGCACAATACTTTAGTCGCTCAGTCACCTCTTCAGGCGGCGGAACATTTGGCTCCTTTCCATAATTTTTCAACGCCGGCCTTTCAAATGACATCGATGGCAGTGATAGTGAGCCCTCTAGTGTGGGCGCTGAGGAACGTGCTGGAGATGCTTCTCGGTTGGGAGACACGTTCCATACCGAATGCCTGTGCAGGGGTATTCTCTTCGTTTGAGGCGATCGTTGTGACGGTCGTGGCATTTCGCTCTGGAGGCGCTTAACTGGCTTTGCCCGCGCCCGCGTATCGGCATTGGTGGAGGATGAGCGAAACCCAGCCGTTTTAGCAGCTGTATACGAGCCCTCAAGTATACAACGATTAAGCTGCCCTCGCAGGGACCCTATGCTCCTCGAAGTCCCGAATTCCTTCTTCCAGGCAATGACCCTCGTCTCCCATGAGGTCCCTTCGCGCTCATGCTTTTCAATGAAGGGCAGAAACCCAGCTTTCTCAAACTCCTCCCACTTCATTGCTGTTACAATTGTCCACTGAGCCAGTTGAAAATGGAATTGCGTTGTAGTAGCAAGGGCTGGGGACTTTTTTCTCTATCCTTGGGGCCGCCAAGTTGATAAGGAGTGAATTTGGGGATTATTAATGGCTGTTGGACAGATGGGTCTGTTCAAAGGGCGAGTTTGGCTTGTTGAAACGTGACTAGATGGAAATCCAAAAAGCAACCCAACCAATGCTATTCCGATGGGGCTGTGACTGCTGCCGTGGTATCCGAGACGTACCCAGGAGAGTGGTTTACACGTACTTTTACTGGGCTGGCAGAGTGGATCCCAGTACTAAACCACTTCTACCCTATTGTCAAACACGCTTGGCCGTGTCTTTTTTTTTTTTTTTTTTTTTTTTTTTTTTTTTTTTGGTTCAGGGGAACCATTCCTTTTGCTATATTGTGATCATCAAATAAAATCACGCCACATAAACAGTCCCGCAATGATTAATTCTATGAACAAACTAATAACTTTCTCTTTGTGTCCCCTCTTTTTTCTAGAGGAGAACAGGATTGAGAGGCAAAGAAAAGGAAAAAGTAAAGGTGGTCATTAAGATTACTATAAAGATTATACATGCGCGAGGCTATCAATCAATTCACCATTCTGTCTCAAACACGAGGCTGACAGCTAGCTTTTCAAGAAAGCATTTTGAAGACTAGAATCCATTGCATTCTATCCTCTCTGACCATGGTCCACAAATCTAGCGCGAGAGTGCCAATGCCGAAAAGGAGGCAAAAGAGACGGAAACGCCAACGGACTGCCATTTCTGATCAGACCAACATTAGAAATAGAGACCTCGAGAAAAGAAGCGCGAACGGAGACTCTAAAGAAAATTTCTGTGAAGAGGTGGAACCAAATAAGTATGCTGCATCCATTGTAAAGCAGAAGGAGCTAGAGGAAATAGTGAGTCTGTTAGCAACCACGTTGGGCTGCCGCCTTCTCTAACCGGATCTGTAGCTAAAGAATGTCACCCAAGGCAACCTTCGGCAATACTCCATTTTCATAACGAACCTCTGTGCAATCGCCAAATTCTGCTTGGAGAGGACACCCAGTCTCCTACCAGAGGTGGAGGCCTATATGGGGAAACATGAGGAATCTGGCCATGCGCTGCTCACGTTCATTCTGGAGGGACCGCATTCCAGCCTAATACCACAAAAAGACCCGCCGTCGCCTTGGAAGAAAACAAGCTCGAAAGGGCCTGCAACTGAGCCCAATCCAGCCAAACAGCAGCCTGAGGCTTCCAGCTCTGGTACCCCAGTTGGGCAACAGCAATCAGTCATCATGGCCTGTTTGAAGGGCGCTGAAGGACAGTCCAGCTGCCCAGACCGTCCTCCACAAGCAATCCAAACAGACCCAACAGGTCTAACAGGGGCTGTCCAACGCCCAGCGCCGGCATATAGTGCACCTATCCACCAGCAGACATATCAGCAACCTCTGCAAGAGCACACTCTAAACGGGCAAATGTCTCCAACCCAGGGCGCTGCTGGGCTCAACTTCACATCATATAGGCAGCAACCGCCACTGGAGTTGACTACAGCATCAGAGCCAGCTTTGGTCCCAGCCCTGGGGGAACAGAATCCCCTCCCGACCGGGCAATTCCCGTCCACAGTACAGCCAGGGAAAGTGTCCCAGTATGCCTCCAATGCTGTTCATCAGGGTAGTAGCAACACTGCTCAACTTTTTCCAGCTTCATCAACAGTACAGCAAGCTCCACATGACAGCCATCCTGTTGTGAACCACGGAGCGCAACCTGTAATGGCCCAGCCATTCGAGATGCACGATGCCGAGCAGTCCCACGCCACTCCGTTAAACTTCGCCCCAAAGCAACCACAGACACCTGCCACCCATCCCGCATCCATACAGGTAGATGACGATCCGCTGGCTAGTTTAGGATGGGCGATCGATGGACAATCACAAGTGCCACCACTGACTATGCAGTCCAAGCAAGGCCCTGCTGTCCTTAACAGTAGCGCCCAGCAGCCAACTACATTCCCCTCTGGTCCTCAACGGACCACAAATCCACCCAGTTCAACACAAATATCAAATCAAGCTACTGCGCCAGTGCAGCAGGGGAACATCGCATATCCTACACAGGCTTTGTTCCAAGCCCATGGCCAACCTGAAACGCTGCACATGCTTGCTCGATCATTTGTAACACAGCCCCAGACAGGGACTGCACCCAATCCCCTGTGGTCTGGCCCATCACAAGAGGGATACTGTGACGGCTCAGCTCAGCACCATTATCAGCAAACACCATCAACATGGCAAACGATGCCATGAAAGCAATCAAGACAAACAGCTGCTTAGCGAGGCCACACAACCCCTATAAGACTTCTTCGTGTAAATAGGCTTTCCTCTTCTTTTCTTCTTCAGATTCGATATTCTCATCGATGGCTACACTAGTCAAGATAGGAATATCATTTCGTTAGTATCTAGTGGTCCGAGCCCCTGACAGACACATGCCTGAAAATTAATTTTTCCCGATTGAATTTCCGTCTGTGTTTCAGTGATATCAAAGACAAGAGTAATTCTTAGGTTACACATAGATCTCCTTCAGGAGTCATGTAGAAATAAATAAATATATAAGAAAAGGAGGGGGGGAGCCTGCGGATTCGTTCACTTCAGATATTAAATATCCTCTAGCTCATAATTTAGGATGGGTTGAGGGGCATCTAAGGATGAAGAAATTGAGTTTGGATTTATTGAATACTTTGAGTGTGGTTTGATGATTCATTTGAGAAGGACCCCCTCTCTTGATTACAATTCCCTGGGCGTGCATTATTAGTTATGATTACCGGCAACTTGACCACAATGGTGATGACTTCGGCCCTACCCACACGGACAATGGCACTTTGACGATCCTAATTCGGGACCCTAATGATAGTGATAATATGTTAAAGTGACACCACATATATGGATTAAGTATTGAAGATATATAATACTCAGCTTCTGCTATAAATTGATATCCTAATCAAGGCAGATATTCCCCCAACTAAATCATCGTCATGAGGGTAGTTTTCTTAGTAGGTTTGTTGACTTCCGTATCCGGTTCCAATAGCTGCCTTTTGTCGGAAATCAAGAAACTGGACCGCTTCCATTTCGACAATTTGAACGTCACCAGCGTCGTCCCATACTTGGAGGGTTCCAGGATTGAACCTGGACATGGTGAATGAAGGCTTATCCGATAGAATTCAAGTGATATATGAAGCTGCCGTGGGTGAGTTGTTAGATCTCCCACGGATGGAAAGAACTGCCCCTGAAAATACTAGATGTGACGGCCTAGTCACGTTGGTTGGCTGTCACGTGAAGTGCGTTGTTAGCTTTATTAATGGACAATGATTGCAGCGTTACCTCCTTCTTCCTTCCTCATGTCAATTATTCTCGTCGATAGCTACCTAGGTAGAACCCATGAGCTGGAAGTTCCATTATCCTAGCCGAGCTCGTGACAGGGAGAGCTGTTACTCTACCAGAACTGACTATATGTACCAGACCAGGACAACGTGAGTCAGACTACTGGATGAAATCCATCGACAGATGTACACCGCGCACCCAGGAAAGACCAAGACCAAGCAACTCCTGAAGGAACGGTACTACTGGCAAAGCTGGAGCCGTAATTTAAAGCACTACGTGGATAACTGCATGATGTGCAAGAGAGCCAACACCTGATGTAATAAGCCCTCAGGGCTCCTCAAGCCATTGTCAACACCTGATCGACCCTGGCAGCACTTGTCAATGGACTTCTGTTCCTTGCCAAAGGACAAGAATGGATACAATAGTATCTTTGTGGTTGTGGATCGTTTCAGCAAGCGGTATATTTCACTGCCCTGTTACAAAACCACTGGGGCGGAAGACATGGCTAAATTGTTCATCAATCATATCTACTGATGGAAAGGCCCCCCTGACACCATCATATCAGATCACGGAGGCCAGTTCATTTCAGAATTCTGGAGGAGAATGGGTATTAAGCAAGCGCATAATACATACACTGGTTATGTTCTGAGGAACTGCTTCGTATACTCCTATTTGATTTCCACCAGAAGCACGGGAGGGCCCTCATCAGGATCCTTTTGTATGAAAATTTGCCTATTTTTTCTAGCCTCTTTGGAGAGGCCTCAACATCGAGAAGTTCATTCCCGTATTCGCATATTGTATGAATAGATATATATAATGCTCTGGCATTTTTTCAGGCCTTCTGTCCTGCTTCCCAGTAGATACTGGGCCCCCGTTGGGTGGGAGTATCCGTGCATCCGATGTTCCACGAAGCTCAACCTCTCTGTACGAACATCGCATCTGGGCTGTTAGTTTCAGTTCAATTCCAAGTCCCCTGGACAAGTCCAAAACGGGTTCGACATTTTTGACCTATTTATTGGAGTATTAGTATGACCGCCCATAATTTCTTTCGAGGCCTACGACTGTGGGCTTGTTTGCTCTTGTTCCCTCTGTCCTCTTTTCTTTCTTTGGGGGCCGTGCAGAATGAGCGTGCCGGAGAAGGGCGATGTTAGCTAACGAGGACATAGGGTCCAGTCTGTTCGGCTAATCGTTATTGACCATATCCCGATCCACTCATAATGCAAAATGAAAGTGCTCCAATGGGAAATATGCGAGTTTTCAGCTCGGGATAGGCAACAGTCAACATGTTGCTACTCGGCGTCACCTACCCCTAGATCTATAGATCTAAAACGCTTAGCTTGATGCTCGTACATAAAGGGTATCCCTGGAGTTGGGGGCCAAATTATGCTAGCTTTCTTCAGGTCAGCGTTGACTGGCGGAGCATCTCACATACCCGAAGAGAACTAGCGCAGACTGGAGAGCCGTGAGGCCAAAACACTCCATTTGTGGGCTAACATGCGGCTTTGCGGCAATTGTTTACTAGGTAAGGCTATATTGTTTTCATATTTCCAAGTTTTAAGTACTCGCTTCCAAGCAAATGGGTCCGGCTTGGCGTGAAGCAGTTGGGGGCTCAGAAATTTGAATTTATCGAATTATAAAAGCTGGGTGTCCTCAGCATACAACTGTTGCTTCGCAAGTTCACTCAATTTTTTTTTTTTTTTTTCTTGAGCGCATCCCGAAGCTTCGGGCTATCGAAAATGAAGCTGCTTTTTTCGGTCTTTTTACCGGCTGTTGCAGCCGCAGCATTGGCGTCGCCTTCTGTCACAATTGATGCCGGTACCCTTCAAGGTGGACGGTGTGAAAATACGTCCGCAGTCTACTACAAGGCAATCCCCTTTACTGAGCCTCCGGTTGGAGATCTTCGCTTCGAACCCCCGAAGGCGTACAATAAGCAATACCCCGGTGGAAAGCTCGATGCAACTACCGCGCCTCCATCGTGTATTCAATTTGGATCGGAGTTTGACGCCACAGGAGTTATCAAGGAAGACTGGTAAGCTATGCCGTTGAAACTTTTAGTTCTTATACTGACCCTTAAGTCTTTATCTGGATGTTTGGACTCCACCTGATGCCTCTAAAGACTCAAAGCTCCCAGTCAAAGTCTGGATGTACGGCGGGTCAGAAACGTCGGGCGGAATTTCGAAAGGCCTTTTCGATGGATGCAACATTCCAAAGGATGGTTCGATTCTTGTGTCAATCAATTACAGACTTGGTCCCCTTGGCTTTATGGCACTTGACAGTGCCGGAATTTATGGTAACCAGGGTATCCAAGATCTTCTCCTCGGCTTGGAATGGGTGCAGACTAATATCGCTGCTTTTGGTGGTGACCCGGTATGTGGAATCGAATTTGATTATTCACTAAATAAGTCAGCTATATTGGTGAATATGAAGCTAATAATAGATTGAAAATGCAGAAAAAGGTGCTTCTATTCGGCCAATCATCCGGCGCCGAGGACGCATTTATTATTGCCTCTCTTCCTCAGGCACCATCTTTCATCAATAGTGCCATTCTGGAATCGGGTGCCGGGAAACAGCTGCAAATTAACTCGACAGCTCAAAGTGTCGGCGCATCGTATGCTCGAACCCTCAAGTGCAACCCTGGTGATGTGAGTGTGAATTATCCAATATTTGCTCAAGTTCCTACATTATTCGAGGTAAATGCTAACCTCTATACAGAAAGCCTGTCTGAAGTCTAAGACTGTTAATGAAATAAAGAAGGCGTACCATAGTGATGCATTCCTGAGTGAGGGAATTGGAGCAATGTCTGGCCTCGGTATCGCCACCCCAGGAACGCATAACTTCTATCCCCATGTGGATGGAAAAGTCATAGCCGAGTCACCCTTGAGTCGCGGAGTACAAGTCCCAGCGGTCTTCGGATACAGTATGTGCAATATCATTCATACTAATTCCCATTCCAAATTCAAACGAGCTAACGAGAGGCCGAAGACAAAAATGAGGGTGTCATAGATGTCACCGCCAAGATCAAAACACCATCGAATGAAAAGGAATTAACGCCATCGCTGTATAAGAGCTTCCCCCAGAAGGACTTTGGCAGTGTCGCTTGGCTTGTAGAGAAATATTACCCCTTGGCTCAATACGTAGCTGCTACCAACAGTACCCAACTGGGTGTGCTCGAAGCCATTGCGCATATCAAAACCGACAGTGATTTCAAGTGCGTTGGATACGAGGGCCTTCTCTCAGCTGCACGCAAGAACATTCCTGTGTGGACCTATGAATATACTCACAACAACACTTGTGCATGGCTGGGCTCACTGGCAAGCCTCCAGGCCTATCCGGAGGCGCTCGCTCTAGAGGGCGCCACTCATACCGCGGAAATCCCGTTCGTCTTCGGTAACATGGACAGCCAACCTCTTTCAGGTGGGCCTTGCAATGCCACAGAGGCTGAGTATCATCTCAGCGAGCAGATGATGAGCTTGTGGACGGCCATGGCAAAGAATACCGATCCGTCTACCGATGCCATCCAATGGCCGCGATTTTCGCTGGGAAGGAATGCTTCAACTCCCGGTCTGATCTTCGCGAATTCGGCTTTGTCTGGTGAAATCGATTACAGTATTTGTCAACAGCTGTGGTCCAAACTGTACATCGTCCTAGGAGCGGATAATGGTACATCCACGACCACGCCGATCAGTGGTAGTGGAAAACCAACGGTTTCGCCATCTGCTACCCCCTAATCGGCAGTGGGGCAACCACTATGCCTTCAGTTGGGTGGCTTCTTGGGACTAGTTTTATATTTCTGGGCGCACTGTCATAGATACTAGCCAAGGTGCCTGAAGATATTTGCTCAAGGGTTTGTCCGAAAGGGGAGAGATTAGGTGGATTGGGTAGTGATCGGGGGATTTGAAAGTCTAGGTACAGATTATTATGTTGAAAGGACAGGTGAGAACTGTGCTCAGCTGTTCCGGGCCTTATATAGTTTTATATTTGAGAGCCATCAACCCTCAGTTGGCCGTCAGATCTATTTCGACTATATCCTGGGCGAGTTGCAGTGCCATCGCAATACCTGCGCTCTTGCTGACACCCTTGAGTTGCTTGATGATCCATTGCCGAGTTTTATCATTTACGACGGGAGATTTGCCGACCGTGTAGAGATTCCAGGTCAGCATATACCCGCCCGACACGCAGGTGTGGGAGGGGCTATCAACAAAGTTCTGGCTTTCAAGTACCGATATAAGCCCTAAGCCCTGTGGAACACTGGCCAATACATCCTCTCCCCGCTTTGACATGATTTGCAGTAACTCTTGTAGCTTCAATTTAAGCTTCAGATGGACCTGTGCTGGTTGTGCCAGGTCTGTGGTAAGGATTTTGTTTATGAGCCAGCATGCAATCTCGCAAACAACTATTTCAACCATTCGCGAGTTGTTCCAAAGTCTTATTGCCCAAGATGTCCTGTAGAGGTCATATCGACCATTGTAAATTATAGAACTTGTTTCTCCACTGAATTCTAGGATGGTTGTATACGGTTCTTGTATAGCGAGAAGTGCAAGGACGTGTTGAAAGTCATCCTGAAGCACAATAGCTTCTTCTAGGAAGTAGGACCAAGGTATGAAATCAGACGCATGGATATCCCAATTATTCTTTGAGACGTTGGCAAAAAGGGTTGCGCACCGCGTGGCTAGCACTCCGAGTAGCCAGAACGCACTAGAGGTGTCTGTGTTCTTGGTTGCCTCTTCCTGTAGCTCACGCATATCATCTGGAAACGGCTGAATGCTCTGGAGACAGGCAGCCGTCATATCCGCACGTACTTGGTTGAACATGAGGATTGCAGCCGGGCTAGAAAATTGAGACTTTCCTCGGGCAATAACCAATGCTGCGGCTCCCTTGACGTGTCGAACCCACGACTCGAAGTTTGAGACATGCTCGAAGACCCCTAACGAGATCACCGACATCAAGGTGCTATCCTTGACAGCCTCAACAGGGGATGCCAATGCAAAGTTCACATGGCGGATCGCTTCTGAATATTTGTTGCACGCGTGGCTGACAAGTTCGGGCTGTTGAGTTGCCAACGCCACGAGGCCGACGGCCGCCATACTGGTGACGAGTGTCGGATGCTCAAGATCGGCGCTGTAGGCAGTTGGAATATAGTTTAGATATCCGCGCGAAGGAGAACGGCCACCGCTGACAAAGTCTTGAAGGAAATAGTTTACGCCCATTTCGTCGAGATTTGGGCCCAAGCCACGGGCAGGTGGATGCGAGTAGGTAACTTCGGTAACCTCGGTCGAGGCCGCCTTCTTTGCTGATTTCTTCTTGGACCGCTTGATAGTATGGTTTGTCTGGTCACGGAAGACCAGTTCCCATTTATCTCGGTATCCAGTGCAGTTTTCGCGCATACGAATGCATTGTCCACATTGGGGAAGCTGCTGGTCGCACTACATCGTCTATTAGTACCGACCTTGTCGACATGGGAAGAGAATACTCACGCGTCGCTTTATGGTGCGGCAGTTGCCGCAATTCCTGGATGCTCTTGCGCGAAATTCATTGGGTGGTGACATATCGAATATCCGTCAACAGATTGAGCAGGAAAGAGAAGAAGAGAGAAAGCGGGGGAGGGGAAAGAGAAAAGGGGTTGCGATTTTGAAGCCTGTCGCTTATCAATCGAGCTGAAAATGGCTGAAGACAGCTGAAATTATCCTCGGAAACAAGCTCTCACGCTGCAGTCTCTCAAAGTGCTTTACACTACACAAATGAACGCTCTCTCTCTCTTGGCAACCCCGGACCCAACCGTGGGGCCAAGGTGAAGAGTCTCGCCCTGGAAGCCCAAATGGCGCCCAACGGCCCCCACAGGCTAAGCCTACCCAGTCTGCACAGTCGCAAGCCGCCGACACGGTGGGTTCTGCGCCGACTTACCTAGAGGAGTATCCCAGAAGCATATGTTTGCCCCGCCACTTAGGGCCGAAGATTGAGCGCGGTAATTGGCTGAGCACTGATCGCTGCTCTCCCGTCCACGCTAGTCCTCTTCAGGTAACTGAGATGCTCGGCCAGTCAACGCGGGCATCTTGAGATGTCAACAAAATTCGCTACATTTGATGACGTTCATAGTAAGGCTGTGGCTTTGAGACTAGAATAGAGTAGGGGATATTCCGAAATACATAAAAGAGACCAGTTCTCTGCTTTACAGATGGCACACAATAAGAAGTTTTTTCCATTTTCAACCATACTTCTCCATACCTCAACTACTTCCTCTTCTTTCTCCTACTCTCTATTGCTACCACAATGGGGACCATAACCTATTGGAACGGCATTGCTATCCTTCAGCTCATCGTATTTCCCATTATCCTCATTGCTGCCATTTTCATCTGGAAGCGGACAGGCTGGAGGGTCGGCAGCAAGATCTGGCGATATGCCGTCACCCTCTCTCTCATCCGGATTGCTGGCAGTATTTCTTCGTTGTTGTCGATCAGTAATGACTCACACAATATCGAAGTTGCCGTGGCAGTGTGCCAGCTGATTGGTCTTGCGCCCCTGTTGCTAACCTTTATCGGACTGCTGAGACAAATGTCAGTTGGCGACGGTGAAGCTCTTGAACTCGATAGGCGTGGACTAACAGACGTGTTTCTAGTGATGTGGATGAAAGAATGCCTCCCAAGCCTATGAAATTAGTGACTCTTGTCACCTTCATCGGCCTCATTCTCGGTATCGCGGGAGTCAGCTCCTCCGACAAAGGGGGTGGTTACCAGCCAGGCACACTCGCAAAGGCAGCCATGGGCATCTTCCTCGCCATATTCGTCATCTTCATCCTGCTTGGTGTTTGGCTATTCTATGAGCTAAGCTTCTCATTGCGGAGGTTCCAGAAGAAGTTGTTCATTGCTATCGCCCTTTCTTCTCCCTTCTTGTTAGTCCGACTGGTCTACTCGGCGCTCAGCGATTACACTACTTATAAAGCTTTTTCTCTTGATGGAAATGCCACTGTCTACCTGTGCATGTCTGTACTGGAGGAAATCATCGCCATGGCCATCACTATGGCCTTGGGAATATCAGCTGTGCTGGAGAAAGACTTCATGAAGCTTACTCCAGTAGCCCAGGAGGACCCCGAGCGAAGGCCTATGGGAGTGAGTTCGTGATTTTGATTGAGTGATGGATCTTTTCAAGTGTGAAATGGTTGTTTTTGAGCATGCTTCTGTGTTCTTGTGTTTCGTTTTGCTATATATCTTTCAATGCTCATGTTATAAGCGGGTGGATATTTACGGGTAGGGAACAATTGAATGCACAGTCGATATGAACGAGGCTGTCTGGAATTAAAATAGACAAATTCAATACTTAATTCGTTTAATGGCGAAATACAGCCAACTCCCGCTTATGGATGCACGACACTAGCCAGAAAAGCGCTTAAGGAGTTGATAAAATACTCAAGGGTCAGAGCGGAAGTGATGGCCGTGTTGTGGCTGGGCTCTAATGGCTGACTTATTTCTAATTACATAGTTAACTAACGAGTTACAGAACCGTTTGGATTCGCGGTAGAATGAATATCTGGCTGATTGCGACACCAAACAGTTCGGCAGATAGTATCTTAAATTGCTAAATTGCATCATAATCTTGTAACCTACTAGACTGTTTTGAGAATCATGGATAATGACTGTTAGCTTGGTATAAGTGGGCTAAAACTTACTGGTGCTATTGGCCCGGGCGTTCGCTTTTGGAGGTTCGTAACACTTATCCCCTGTATTCCATTGCCAGCTTTAATCACCGATGCATAAGAGGGTAGGGACAGATTCTGAGCGGGAAGTCATCAAAAGGATTCGCACACCTCAATGGACATATAAGAGTATTCACGGAATAAAACCTCGCTGAAAGCACGGTGAGAATTGTCAACTTCAAATGCAGGCGTGAGAATATTACTGAATATCTTCTATTTCAGCACCGTTGGCAGTCATTTTATTGTTGATTCCATGTTTAATATACAAATTAAATAGACAAAAAAGAAAGAAAAAAAGATAGCAATCAATAAGAAGTGTCCTAAGTCATATCATGCCTTTTCGTCTCCGGTAGAAGTTGACGCGCCTCCCTGATCCGACAAACACTCACCAAGCTGAGGCATAATATCCTTAATTGTCTCCTGAATCGAATGAGGGTAGTGCGACGTCTACTAATGTAAGTTGGATGATGGGAAAAGATTTTGATTGGGCATACCAGGTTAGACAATGTATTAAGCCACTGGTTAAGCGAAGATGAATCAAGAATATACATCTGCCCAGTTTTCCGGATACGAACAGCCACCAAGACATCAGACTCGCATTCAAGGCAGAATTCTGCTGGCTTTATAGAGCAAGAAGCCACTTAGGACAACCATTCAGTATTATCAAGTAAAGAACTTCCGTTCCGCTCCTCCTACTATCACTTTCGATCTGACTAACCATACATTGCTTTAGAAGGAGACTGTAATATAGATGTCGCACAACCCACTCCATTCCCTACATTCGCCCTTACTTGCCCATGATCCTGAAACGTGGCAGAAGGACGGTTCAGTGGGAGCTGTTTCTGGCGCCCCGCTAATCGTCACAAAAGATACTCCATTTAACGTTGACACAGTTAGCCAGCGGCCGTAAACGGCAGCACTCGACGCCGTTTTACGAGTCTTGCTAACCGGCAGCGGTCTTGGCACCGGTTGAAGCTAATCCCAAGGCTCTCCTGGTAGGCTCTTGCTGGTGTCTGGATGCCTGGGTGCCTGGCCCCACGACGACAACCCATGATGCTACCGCCGATAAGGACTCCTTTGTCGCTCAACTACACCTCATTTTCCTGAGGGAAGCCAGAAACGGCTCCCCTCGCGACCATCGTCTTCGCTCTGTTTCTATAAATTCTACGGTCTTCACGATGTCCGCTCGCCTGATCCCCCTCGCACCTGAGCGACTTTCACATTTGCTGAGGATCTTGACTATACTGCCCCCTCCAGCTGAAGGGAAGAAACTTTAGATTTGGCTACTTGTTTAATCTCCTTTCTATTTAGAGCCCTCTCCTCCATAACTTCTTTCGTCGTCATGTATTCCTCCTCCCGACGTATCGTGTCCGATGAAGACAGCGATGCCAGCACCGACTTACCGGATGTCTTCTCGAACAAGCCTTCCGACAATTCCTTCGACAGTAAGTCCGAGCCGGACAACAGTGGCAACTCGGATGGTGATTCCGACAATGACTCGATCTTGGATGAAGAGGGAAGAGAGCTTCCAGCGGAATACTACCTCCAAGAGGCTGATTGTCTCGATGTCTCGCTGCTTCGACAGAAACGCTACAGCTCAAGGACCCAAGATAAGTTGGACGAGACACGGGATTATTGGGACCGGTGAGAGGCATTAGTTTTTACACTTTGATGCCTGTGCTAATAGTTGGTCTGTCTGGCCAGGTTCTGCCGAGATGGAAAGCATGATCCTGCAGAACGTTTCCGCTGGCTCTCTGACTCAGAGGAGACGGTCCGTTTCCTGAAAGCCCTCTTCTCCTGGTGATGCGATCGGCGACGGGATAAAAGGGGACGCCGGACCCTGGGAATTCAATATAAGAGCTGTTTCATGGCCGCTGGACATTGAAATTTGACTGTCTTCGCACTTGATCGGTTTCCTTCCGCAGGCCCTCTCTAATCGTTTGGAGCAGGAATACTTCTCCCATCCCAGAAATCATATTCGACCCGACATTGGTACTAAGTCCCCATGTGTTCCTTCTAGGAATGCTTTTTCGTATTGGAGCATTCAAAAATTTTTCGACAGATGGATTTGTGGTTGACTGTCCTGAAAATCTGTACAATCTTGGCGTTATCAAGGGGCTCGGCCAGCAGGAGTTGAAGTTGAAAGATGAGATTCTTGATCAATTTGTCTTCTGTCAGGCAATTCGGGAAGCAGATGGGATCCGAATTGCGCTTGAGGAACAACTAACGGACGGAATGCTCCGATACCGAATGAGGCTGGGGGTGAAATCACTGGGTTTGAACAGGTCACGAAGCCATACGGTCTTCGTTATGGGGCAGCGAAGGCATTCAATGACAGCCGTAAGTGATGGCAGTCCGTTTCGGTCCAGATTAGGATTCCTTCCTGGCTAACTCCATCGCCGGACAGCGGACGTAACAAATGAGCTCCAAAATGTGATGTTGCAGCATGCCAGTATCAACACCTTCGTTCGACATTATAGTGTGGGCATTCACGTGGATACTCAGGCGATCGTACAAGGTCTACCAGCCCAAAAACAACTAATGCAATTTGCGGCTTCTATGAGCCGGTCCATTGATCCTCGGCGGCCCTACAAGCTGGAAAATTCCAGCTGCGTCAACGATCTCCCTCGCGTACAGATGTTGCAGGGACATGTTCATGAAAGAAAACAACTCCGGGACGAGAAGAAACGGTCCTACGAGGCTACCAAACGGGACTTTCAACAAACTTTCGGTGATGAAAAATTCGAAAAGAGTGAGAAAAAGCTGCCGCGACGCGCTTGTCGTGAAAACAAAGGCGTAAAGAGGTGTAAGAAAGACTACATGCGTGCCGATCAGCGATATCAACGCGCGCTACGGGAGTTGCGGAATGAGAAGTAACGGTAACGCAATTGTCTAATATAAGAATGAACAGCCAGTGGTTGACAGCGAACGGCAACTCGCTGGGAAGATGGTAGATGAGGAGGTTATGGACGTTCTGGAGCAAACGGGGTACATGACCCCACAGCATATAATGTTGATCGACACTATTCTGACCATGCCGGGCACGACCGTGGAAAAGGAGTATCAACGACGAATTGCCGCGATCAATGCGGTAATTGCATTCTGTGACATAGAAGAGGGTTAACCATCGCGGCGGCCGAATCTTTCCCCGAAATATGGTGCCACGGATGCTTTGCCGGCCATGCCTGCTGCGAAGAGGCAAGCCTGCTCTCTACCTGGTGAAAGCGAGAGCGCTCTTCGTCAAGCAATCGCATCAGTTTGCATCACAGCTCCTAATGAGAGACCGAAAATCTGCTTTCTCTGTCTCGGAAATCCTAGACTTCCAGAAAATAAGCGAATGAAGGTGTATGGCACTCCTGGATCCCTTAGCCGTCACTTTATTGATTGGCACATCAAACGCTATCCGAAGGAGATGCTGGTGAAATGTGATATCTGCGAAAAGGACTTTGAGCACAAGGCAAACTTGATGAATAATGCGGAAACAGCAACTACATGGGATCGTCTCTCCCGACGTCCGCACTCGGTCCCATCTAGAGTTCCGAAAGGAATACGAATAATATGAATATTCATGAATAATTGCGAATATGAATAATATGAATTTAATTCTTTCTTTTGCTCTTACCCCTAGATACTGGCCCAAATGTCGTGTAAGTGTAGGAAGAATTTAATAGAAAGATTCATGATTTCAATTCATTTGCAGACACGCTTGTAAAACACAAATTCCAAAAACACACATAACAAATGCATAAAAGTAATAACCGGTCCATGCTATGCTATTCACAAAACAAAAGAACAAAACAAAAGAAAGAAAAAGAGTCAAAGCCATATCTTCATTTTCATGAATCGAGAGTGAGCATCATCAGGTTTAATGGTTCTTATTGATGTCCTCGAGGATGCTCCAGGAAAGGCCATCATCGTCACAGACCCCCAGAATGCCAGAGCATTGAATTCTGTGGTCGTCCAGTTTCCCCTTGAGTTCCCTCTTTTCATTGCCTTGCTTCTGCTCAGATGGCAGGTTCTGTGGGAGTGGGTTGTTGCCAAGAGGGACATTTCCAGTCCACGATGGTTTGGTGATAGACTCAGAAGCATCCTCTCTCTTGTTGAAATCTTCTGGTTCAGGGCTAGGCTCCCTCTTTGCAATCGCCAAACCCTCCTTCGTTGCCTCTTCAATGAACTTCGATTGCCGTTCATAGCCTGGCGACCCTGGTGGAAGCATCACCACCCTCTTTGCAATCGCTAAACCCTCCTTCGTTGCCTCTTCAATGGACTTCGATTGCCGTTCATATCCTGACGACCCTGGTGGAAGCATCACCACCCTCTTTTCCTTATCGCTGTTCTCGGCTCCATCTTGGGGCTGGACCAACTCCTCACTCGGTTCGTGCTTTTCCATAAGGTATGGCACGTGGCGTTTCTGGTTGTGAAACTGATTTGCATCACCGAAGCCGTATTGTCTTGCCTCGACAATCGGCCGGTCGCCCATCCTAAGAGGATACCGGAGTTCCCTCTTTTGGTTATTGGGGTTCGCTTGCTCGAACTGTAGGGCGCTACAACCATCACAATAGTTAGAACGCAAATTCGAGAGACTACCCGAGAGACGTCCAGGGTCTCTTTGCTGAATTGTGCCTTCATGTGACTCAATGGCAGGCTGATAATGGAAGTATTGCGTTTGTGTTTGAGACCCGGGAGTTGGCTGGCTGGCAAAGGCGGTGGCAGCCGTGAGGGAAACAAGTAGAAGAGAATTGGGAGCAACCATGGTGGCTTGCTTTATTTAATGGATTGTGGTATGATGAAATGATGAATTGATGAATTGATTGATTGAGTTGTGTTTGTGTTGGATTGTATAGACTGATTGTGAGGACATTGAACATGTTTAAATAGCATTTCCTCGCCTGATACAAGGCCATTTTCATCAAATCTGTGTTACTTTGACAAGCAAAGTCTCCATCTCAAAACTAGAGTATGCCTTGACTTCATCGTGTAGTTATTGTTTAAATTAGAAACAAGCAGCGAAGTGAATGCTCTTTTGGGGCTGAATAGAATCAAAACCGAAATGATGTGCAAGACCCGTAGGCGCAGCCGCAGTCGACAAGCAGCCTTATGCCCCTATGGCCCCAAATCCGATCCTTTTTCGCTCTGCGCCTCATCAATTGAAACTGCGACAAGATGAGATTAGTATTTTATTATTCCTGGTCCATGCATATCCATCAGTTTCTTTAACAATGGCCAATCATGGCAATCAGTGATCTCTTGGTCATCCATCTTAAAAGACCCTGAAACTCTCACTGCCTCCAGTTATCCTTAAATTCGGCGGTGAAGTCAAGACCCGGGAAAGACCGAGGAGTTACCTGTCTCCTGACTGCGGATGAATGAGGTTCAAGCTCTATCTCTTTCTCGATAACCATCTGAGTCTGGCCCACTACCTCAGACAATGGATATAACGGGCCAATGAGGCTTCATTTCTTGATACTAGGCACAGTCAGCTGCGGCGCTAAAGCTTGGCTTCCGAAAAAAAAAAAAAAAAAAAAAAATAGTATCCCAGATTCTTTGACTCTTTCCTCACCTCACCTCACTGGACCAGCATGACTACATCCACCACCGTACCAAGATTTGAGAGCCGCGGTGAACTGTTGGGCAATTATTTGGGGAGCAAGGTATGAGGATAGACAGCCTCCTCAGATAATGAAACCAGGGAACCTCTATTCCTGGGATGGTCTAATCCAGGATCATCTACAGTCTCATAGGGCATTTGATACCCTGCGCTGTTAAATCCATTGTCCACAAATGTGCAAATGCGCCCCTGATCATTGGGTTGGCAATCACCTCGCCCACCAACATGGTTTTCTAGCTCCTCGTGCTGAATGAACTAAAAATAATATCCTATTGGTCCTCTATCGTTAGTCTCTCGGGTACTGGACCGGGCAGAATGCAAACCGGATTCTCCTACCAAAAATCACCGTTCTACGATACTCAAGAGAACATGAATCCCCTTTCGTGTCTGATCTAGGAATATGTAGCTCAACTTAAGGGGTTTTTACAGACATGACCCATGTCGCCTTGACGGAAACCTCTCAGAGCAGTTAACCACTCAAGAAACATTTCTTATGTTGTCATCTGAGACATGTAGACTATCTTGTGTATTACGCCATAAATATGCATTCACGATAATACGTCCATGGTTAGACCATCATATGAATAAAACTAGCATGGAAGGCTTGGCTTAGAAGGCCACTCTTGAGAGGCACATCTTCTTGTGAGGAAATTAGCCACGTGAGGGTCCCCATGAAAGCAAAGGCTAGATGAAAGGGGATATATCATGTGAAACTGATCATCAAGAGGTATACCTTCTAGAACAGTCATCTCATACCCAATGCAATCATAACACATGGATAGTGTGAGGCGATGGCTGCTGCTAATCGTAGGGATCAAGTAACGGAAATTCCAAAATGCAGATAATCCCAGGAATAAGTATCATGGGATGTAGATGATCCTGGGTTAGATTATCCCAGGATTCGAGGGTTTCCGAAATGCAAATAATCCCAGGAATAAAGTATCACAGGATGTAGATAATCCTGGGTTATATTATCCCAGAATTAGAGGCATTCCAGGATATTCAAGATCATGGATCAGCTCCTCGGTACCCACAAGCTTCCCTGACTTGTTGGTGACAACGTCCCATACTACCGGGTCTGCCCCATATATGTACAGATAGACCATCCAGAAGTTGGACTTCCTCATCCCAATCAGACCACGCGGAGTCATTTTGGAGCACGTGTTTCCATCCCACACAATAGTCTCTCTCGAGATTTTACCCGGTTGCTTATCAACCGGCGATCTAACTCAGTACGATGGAAGTCAATAACCAGAGCAGGATTGAGCTCTATATTCCAAATAATATTGTCTGACCGAAGGTCCTGATGAATGATCCCCAAAGAGTGGATTTCCTGAATTGATCTGAGTTTCTCGCGGCGATATACGGTCCCCTTCTTACAATCTGTGGCACTGTCGCCTCCCCAAGCCATGAGCAGCATGTGACGAATCTCTCCAGCTCCATGTAGAAAATAAATGTTTGTTAAGTTGATCGGCCCCAGAAAAACGGGCACTGTTGACCCCTGTGCTCTCTTTAGGACCTGGTATATCTCTGCTTCATGCGAAACCTCCTTCCACAGTTGAGAAGTGGTTCCTTTTCGGATAACGGTATAGCCATACGCAGCACAAGTGATCTTGAACGGCGCCCCATAAGATCCACGAGCACCGAAAGGCGTGCAGTTGTGGTCCAAATCTTTGTCCAGCTGCTGTTGGAGCAACTGCACCAAGGTACCAGTATCGATACAGTGTCGGCAGCCACATCGGCCTTGTCGGTACAGCTTGACATTTGGACAGTTTTCATCGAGTGGGCCACCCTGTTGCAGACCAAGCAGACAGCGTTGTGTGCAAAATTGCACCGCATGTTCTTTGTATGAACCGCTTTGCACCTGTCGAGTCCCAGCTTGGCGTCCTGATCTCTGTGTGGGCGGAAATGCTATAACCTGACTGAACCCTCGCTTCCGTCCTGACGTGGCTTGGTGAGAATCAGAGTCCGAAGAGTCCATCGACTCTCTGTAATATAATGTATCCGAAGGTGCACAGCCAACTCGAGACTGAGTGGGCATTCGACAGCCCGCTGGCGTGGGAGATTCAATGGGGGGGGGATGACGGCAGATACTCGAAAATCAGAGACAAACCCGGAATTTGGCGGGGTCTGTCACAATTCCGCATCAGGAATCTGAGAACATGTGTGATCAAAATTCGTCTTCCATACATGTAACCGCGCCCGGGCAGCATTCCGCCATGCCTGGTCGCGAGGAGGCGAACGAAAGCTCATTAAGCAAAAACAAAGCACCCCGCCAATGTCGGTATTCGGTCCCAGAAGGCTATGGCCATCCCCTGCATTCGCATCCAGCTTGGGCTCGCACAGACAATAGTACAGAGTGCTTGGATCGTCATATGGGACTTGTAGAAGGACACGCACCAAACCAATCGTCACATATGAATACTCGAGCCCCTCTTGAATCATGACATGGTACTCCTGAATGATTGCCGACCCTGCTAGCCGCTCTGCATTGTGTCTCAACTTCTCCGCCTCATCTGTTGGGATCGTGTCTGCTGGACCAGACTGCCAGAAGTTTATGGGCCGAAGTCCTGCCCGGAGACTTTCTACGGAAAGCTTGTGAGGTGGCTTATACTCGACCATAGTGAGAAGGGAGTTCGTAGAACCATCAACTCGGTGAATGCAGAATTGACCGGGTCTGGGTCGCTGGGGGTTCGATGCTTCCAGCTGGCTATCTTCGTCCTCATCCAGAGCATCAGCATGATTATCGAACTGAATTCCGCTGCCAAGCTGAAACTCGCGTCGCACGTCAGGTATTTCACACAGTTTCTCAATTACATCATGCACATGATCCTCCACGGCAAATCGTTCATAACTCTCCAAATCCTGCTCACTACTGAGTGGCCCTCGGCCGAGGCCTTCGAGCTCAACAAGAGAGGAGAACAGTTGCGTTGCATTGTCCGCGGGCTTTAAATACCGACACACTGCTAGACTTATTCCCCACCACCTGGCCGGTTTATTCCCGCACGGGAAGCGGTTTCGGATCCAGAACACCGTACAGACATGAGAAAGGGGGTAGGGCATCGAAGAAAGCGTAGAGGATATGACTTCCTTCGGGTATCCGAGCTCAATCTGAACGACCCCCTCACGAACACGTAGAACCCTCAACTCCCATCACAAAGGAAGAGCTACGCGACTGATCCTGCCTGCCGTGGTCAGGAGTACTGCACTAGAGCGTAGTGGATGGATAGGATACCAACAAAGGCACCGTACAAATCCGACAGAGTTAGAAATCACATCGGCGGCTCCGTAAACCCACTCAGGGATCAGGAGGACTTTCCTGAAACAGGGCAATCATTGGATAACGCGGCATCTCTCGAGGGGGCAGTGCTCTGGGCTAGCGCCTGGGTAGGGGAAGATAGAGAAGTGAAAGTGCGTCGTCCGTCGAGGGGACGTACTGGGGCTTATATGCATTGAAGCGGCAGGCGGGCGGGTAAAAGCGGCCAATGATTCTTTTCCTGAATCCTGATTTAATTTATGGGCGCCAGATTGTCTATAAATATGAATAGTGTTTTAAGACACCATGCTACGCTATTGTAGTTGACATAATCCAAATTTTGGACAATCCATGAAACATAAGGGCACTGTTCTCGTGCTGAGTCACTTATCAGGGCTGAGGGGATCTGTTTGTGGTTATGTGCAGATGCCAAGTAGTTCAGTTTTTGAAGTGGGAGGAGGACAGCCAATAATTAGTTGATGTAGCACATTGGGTGATGGCTCACCTTCTGTATTGTGCACTCAGCTCATCCAATATAATTTTTTTTTACTAAAAAACTGGTACATACGACCATAGGGTGTGGAAAACAGGGCTTCCCGTCCGCTCAGCCGTACTTAAGCCACACGCCGGCCGGTTAGTAGTTGGGTGGGTGACCACCAGCGAATCCCGGCTGTTGTATGTTTTTGTTTTTATTTCATTTTCCCCCTTGTTTGTGCTTCAATGAAGCATTCTTTTTATCATTTTGTGTCTATTCAGTTTGATCTATTGTTTGAATCCTTTCATTTACTGTTTTACATACCTAGTAATCAAATTTGGACTACTAAGACAGAGAATCCTTCTGTAGCCAGTCAAGTGAACACTGCAAATTGGAAAATATGACTCGCCAAATAGTGACCATACCAAAGGGACAAGGTCAAGAGCTGCACGAGCTCATAACGCTAATCCCAACATTCAGCCGCGGCTTCTGAAAGCTCTTGGTCCCCTTTTCACCACCAACACTTCGCTGCTCCTTGCCGATACTATCCTTTAGCGAAGTCAATAATTTGATATTATATTTAAGACTCTTCGCCTTCTCGAGGTTATGGTGGGCGGCGGCTAGAGCTTTGGCATCCCCGGTGAGTTTGGTTAGTATCGGAATGTGAGAGGTGACACGGAGCGTATTCTGACAGTTAGCACAACCACTAACGTGCCATCGACTGAAGACAGGCTCAATTCCAACTAGCTTCTGGTCGTTGCTGCCCGGCTCAGTAGCCCAAACACTGATTGCAAAGGACCCTTGGACAGTTGACCGGTCTATGCCGGACACCCGTACAAATGGCCTTTGTGCTGGCACCCTTGCTGCTACTGCGTCGCCGGTCACGGACGTCTTCGCAATAGTCTTTTGTTCAGGGTCGGGGAGCCGAGGTACGAGGCTATCGTAGGTATAGCCCAAGCGTCTAGTACTTGCTACGTCCTGGTCATTGCAAGCTCTCGTCAGCGTCCGGAGTGTCACCGAAAAAGACTTTCGCTCGGAATTACTCACCACGGATGTCAGATAGCGTTCATAATCTTCTACCGGGTCTTCTTTGAATAGATACTAAAGAAGAAACGAGATGAATGATGACATTCTCAAACTATCTCACCACACCCTAAGACCAATACCCAAGAATCACCAGCTTCCATCCCCCCTCCCTCCCCCCCCCCCCCCCCCCCCCCCCGCCCCATCACATCACATCATATCACATACACCACTCAATAATCCTCCAAACTCGACACCCGTCCAGTCCTCCTCTTCATAGACCTCAAAATCCACATCGTCCGTTCGGACCTCGTCATACCGGGGACCTCCACTTCCGCTTGCGCTTGGATTGCGGTTGAGGTTGTAAGCGCTGCATGCGAGGATGTAACGTCGTCGATAGCCGTGTCTGTGACTGACAGACGGAGAGTGTTATCGCTGATCGGTTGTCCGTGCTGGACTGGTGTAGAGAGGCATTCGGAAGGGAAACCGGCAGCTGGGATGGACATGTTTGGTATGTGGACGGACGGGGATTTAAGGTAGTCTCTTTCTCGGTCTTGTGTAGATTTGGATATATTTTATAGCTTCGACTAGAGTAGAGGAAAGTTCTTAAGAGATTGCGGGGTTTGTGCTACTGTCGGACTTGGTGAAATCGCTGGCTTATATACATTTGTAGTGTCGTACGCGCCGAGCTGAGCTGAGTGAAGAGGGGTATTAGCTGACAGTAGTACAGCTAAAATGTTTGTCAGTAAGCCACTGAATAATTGTATGCAAAACAAATAGAGCACATCACAATCAACAGACACAAAGAGCAAATCACAGCCAATTGTATTGCAGTAGGTAAAGTAAGAATGGTTGCACTACATGTACTTTTTAGCCAATAAAAGGGCATGGAAAGCAAAAGAAATTATTTTCGAGATTTGCTGTCGTCGCATAGGTAAAATTGTAGAGCGAAGGTCTGCAATGATAAGTGTAGGAAAAGAAAGACAGGGTGTATGAAGGGACTTTGCCAGAGGAAGAACAATAGATGTACAACTGGAATACAGGAGGGCAACGTGGCCGCGAGTATAGGTCATTGCATAAAGAGTGTTAGTATCTATCTAGAGCATTCTGCATAGCTGCAAGAGGAGTAGGGATTCTGTTTTAAATACAAATGGGTATATGCTTACAATTAAGGGAACGTATACAGGAATTCGTAATACGATACTACCAGCTAGGTAATTTCCCCCTTGTCGTTGACATTTCATTTCTAAAACTATCGATTTAAGAACATATCATGACTACAAGGGACGAAATAAAATCATCACATCGTAACTGATCCTCCTGAAAGTAGCAAGCCGCTCACAGAATCAGAGAATCATCACCATTCACGACTCACGACGCACTAACATCGTTCCCCCTCGGCGCCTTCATCTCATACTCCAGCACAAACCTCACATCCTTCCCGGGTTCCAACCGCATAACCCACTTGACCCCCCCATCCTTGCCCAAAAACACCTCTCCATTACCCTTGCTTTTCTCCACCACCATGGGAACCTTATCATCCTCCTTGACAAGTCCCTTGGGCTCCAAAATCGCCATATGCAGCTTCTCGTCGCTGCTCATGGGGACCTGGTCGAGCACAACGATGTTGGCAGCGGTGGCCTTGGTATTTTTCACCCAGCAGCTGCGCGAGAATATCGCCATGTCTTCCTTGCCGAAGAAAGATCCGCTAGTCTCGCGGCGCACGGTGGGCTTTGCGTAGGTGACTAGGATCGACGGGTCCACGCCCAGGGAGATATCGAAGAAGTCGTTTGGCCCGCAGTTGGGCATGGTTGTTGTTCCGAGGAAGGCATTGTCCACGGTCATGCCCACCTTGCCGCGGAGGATCTGGATGGAGGAGGTGTTGTGGATGCGGGCGCGGAAGAAGGCGGCGGCGCGATGCTTGGGGACGATGACGTGTTGGAGAAGTATGGATTTGAGGTCGAGTTTGGCGAGCGCGTGGCGCCGGTTGACGCTGGAGGGGGTTAGGGTGCGGCGGCCGGGGAGGTCGTAGGTTGTTGTTAGGCCGTATTCCTGGCGGGTTGAGTCTTGGTATTCTAGGTCGGGGGGCTGGAGAATTTCGTCGTCGTCGTTGTCTTCGTTGTTTTCGTTGTCATCGTCGTCGTTATCCTCGTAGGCATTGGCCGCTGGTTGTTGGGCTGCTATAGGTGCGTATGCTGTCATGGGTGCGGCCTGCTGCACCATCTGGTTTGTAAAAGAGCTTGCCGGTGCCGCCTGCGGTACTGCTCCTCCAAAGAGAGACCCCGTGCCATTCGAGGCAAAAGGGCTCGACATATTTCCCCCAAAGGGTCGCGATGCTGCCGATCCAAAAAGACTTGTTCCCGGTTCCCGTCGTGTTCCAAAGAGGCCTCCAACCTGCGGTTGCTGTGGGACATCCATATGCGAGGCTGGTCTAGAGAGGGATGACGGTTCTGCGGGCTGCGGAGGTGCTTGTGGTGCATTTTGTGCCAGCGCATTCTGCTCCTGGCGTGCCACTAGGAGTCTGCGTTTGTTCTGTTGTTCCAGCATCAGTAGCTGCATCTCATAATCCTGTTTGGCAGTGCGGCGGTCGACAACTGGTCGTCCTCCCTCGGACAAGCTGCGAACGATCTTTTCCCACGAAGGCTGCCCGTTGCTGTCATCCTGATTGATCAACTTGATGTGCCAGACCTGCAAAGAGGGAATGCTCTCGTGGAGCCCCGAGAATGCGGTCTGCGATGTCGACAGTATGACCTTGGTATCATTCCAGGTCTCAGAGCTTCGGTTCTGGAACTCTGCACCGTATGTGACTTGAGCGGTCGACGAAGGGGTGTTGATGCTCATCTCATAGCGGGAGAACCACTTCGCATCAGGGACGACGTAGCTCAGACGCAAGGTAACTTCTCTCCCGCTGGAATCCGCTGGACTGTCGGCCGCTTGCTCGACAACAGAGAAAGAACTGCGTCGGCTCGATCCGGGCGTGAACGATGACTGGCTGTCAAGGTGCACGACGACCTGTCCCACAGAATACGTCCAGAAACGTCGTTGCTCGTCTCTCTTGCGCATTTCCTGCGACTTTCCCTGCTCACGCTCGCGTAGGCTTTTTTCGCGACGTCGCTGAAGTTGTAGTTCAACCTTCAGTATTTTGACCGAGAGTGACTCGATCTCCTTCTCTTCCTTCGACATTTGCGCCTTCGCCTTGCGGTGCCTTTCACTCTCCGTTGCATACCGTTCGACGTATTGCTCGAGGAACTCCTCCAACTTGCTGCTCTCCGTGTGCTGAGGCTGCATTCTGTTGCCGTAAGAGTCCATGAGACTTAGGACCCGCACCGCCATGTTCTCGTCGTTGCGAGCCTTGTCGAGCCTCTCCTCGGCACTGGTCCGCTCATCCCGAAGTGCTTTCAACTTAGGGTCTTCACTGTCACTAGAATCATCGTCGTCCGACTCTTCCTCTCCGTGGACATCCTCAAAGAGCAGCCGTCGAGGGACTATCTCGGTCTGGGTGTCCGTGATGGTTGCCGGGCCGGAGCCTTCGATACGGATGGAGTCAACATCAACCTTAGGGTCGAGACCCAGAACAGTAATTTCGTTCAGGCCGGGCTGTAGAAAAGGTCAGAATACGATCCCGATCTCAAAAGAGCTGGGGTAGCAACGTACCTGGACCTTGGTGGTGATCTCCCGGACTACGGTCGCTCCCGTAGGCGTCAAATTGACGGTCTTGGTGGGGAGGTCATAGACCTGGATTTCAGAAGTCGCGATGTCTGCCATGGTTAATTATTGTGAGAAAGAAAAGTGGAAGAGTTCTGGGGAGGAGGGGTTTATATATGATTCACATGTGACACAGCCTCATTCCGGAGCCTCAACAGGCAACCCCAAACACGCCCCAGGCACCAACTCACTGGGCCAGTGAATCCCGCACGTTATTTCAGCTCAATGTGGCAATTTCTTGAATTTCTGTTGATTTATTGTAGAAGTATTCTCGAAGCTTTTTTTCTTTTCTATTTTTACATAGTCCGGCTTGCGGGTTGGGCAAGTAAACGAGCCGGGTATCTTGAGTCTTATTAATTTCGTCACGACTGGATCTATAGATAAACGATAGTCCCATCCAAGATTCGATGACAGGATACCGACGAGGTGAGCCACCTCACTTCCGCGAACCGACCAGGGTTATCATGAGAAGGCCAGAGACGGGAATAATTGCCAAGCTGATATAAAACCGTTTCTTTCACAAATTAAGCGTAAGCCAGTGCTACACTGCTTGAAAAAAAAAAAAAAAAAAACAGGCTGTGTTCTTCTGCTGTTTTATTTGACTTATTTGTTTACTCTCCTCGTCGTTCAAAGCCCTACTAATCGAGATGCAAATTTTGTGCAAATCTCAACTCAAAATTTGCTTAAAATTTTAATCTCGGCGCAACTTTGCACATCAGCCACACTGTGGCTAGTGTAATCAACATCACCGCTCGGCGATCCACCTCCAACATTTCTCCAATCGTGTCGATATCGAACTGTAGACTTTAACAATTCAGAATACGCCTTATACAAGCCAGTCCCGCCATCTACTCATGCAACTATTATAACCCGATCATCTAATACGAAGTGAAGAGACACGTCCGACCCGCGCCCCGACAATCAATCTCCATCCGTCAAACCAACCGCATAGTGAATGAAAACAAACATAACTGTTTGCATGCGCCTTAAATAAAGCGCAATGGCCACCCAAAACCCAGAAACAGCATTCAAAGGCCGCTCCAACTCAATCGTGGTCCCGAAAATGGCAGTCGCGAAAGTCGAGGACGCCACACCGGCGCCGGCGCCGGCAGCACCAGAATCCACAGATGCGAATGTCTGGACAACAGAACGACAACTCGTCTCTTCGCTGGCTAAGTTACAGGAACTTGAATCCATGGTACCCCCTCGTCCCCCCTCTACAGTGTTTCTACAGTGTTGAGCAGCAGCTGATAAACCCAGATCCACAACCTCCGCACCCTCCTCCCAGAACGCCTCCTAGAACCCCTAGTCCCAATAGTAAACCCCCAGATCCTAGTCAGTGGCAACAAAGCACTCCCGAAATCCCCACAAACACTCTACGAGCAACTGTCCACCACAGCACGCGCGGGAGTAGCCGAAGTGCAATCCTTCCAGGATCTCTGGCGGAGTCCCGAACTCAAGGAGATCTGGGACCATGTTGATGTCAAGATCCAGGAGGGGAATGGGGTGTTGTTGCAGCCGAGTGGGATGTGGGAGCGGGATTATGGGGTTTTGCTGGAGGGGATTGTGGAGGAGGAGAGGGGGAAAGGGGAGAAGGAGGAGAGGGAGAGGGAGGAGAGGGAGAGGGCGGGTGTTGATGGGGATTGGAGGAGGGTTGTTGAGGGGTTTGTGGGGAGAGATGTTCCTGGTGTCCGGGTTGTTGGGGTGAAGGGGAGGGATGCGGTGGTTGTGGTGTTGGTTAAGGCGGGGATGGCGTTTGAGGTGCAGAGCCTCGAGGGTGAGGGAGGAGTTAAGTGGGTGGTTTCAAGCAAGATGGCTCCTGGAAAGCCGGTCAGCAAGCTTGAGGGTGCGGTTGTGGATTGTCTAAACTCGCGTCTGAGACAGTGGGATCTTGCTTTTGCTTTGGTACGTCCTTGTCCCTTACCCCGAGTTAACATACATACTAACAACAACAGGACATGATATCCTCCTATACAACCATCAAGCATACCCCCTGCGCAAAATGCACCAAAATGACCGACTCAACTGCCCAACTCCCGACCATTCGTCGCCAGTCTCCACAATCAACCTGGGAAGCCTTCCACCCAACATGCCTCTAACCTACCCACAATCACAGCAATGCGCATGTCCCCCATACACAACATCATGCCAATACCCCGCCGGATACATCTCCCCCTTCCTATCCCAGTACCGCACCGGAATCACATGCTTCTTCCTCCGCCATCCATGACCTTCCAAATCCCCAGAACAATATTCAACTCGACTCCACGTCCCGCTGTCAGGTACGGTATAGCGCTTCGTCCGGAAATCGTACCGCTCGTTTGGTTTGCGGATTGTCCAGGGGAATGCCGAGGTATACACATACTTCGTTTTCACGCCGCTTCCGTTGCTGTCGGGGGTGGTGGTAGGAGGATGTACATCCTCCCAACCCGCCCAAGTACAATCCCTTTTCCGCGGAGCCTGTTGCTGTATCGGTGCCCTCACTTCAACTCTCCCTTCCCTCCTTTTTTTATCCCTGTTTCCGTCCTTGTCTTTTTTGTCACTGTGAATCCGTCCAACAAATATATCCGGCCCTCTATTCCTGAGGATATCGAAGAGGCGCCAGCGGTGTGGCCAGTGCGAGGGGTTTCCGGGACGGGGGTCTTTAGGCCAGATCCAGCCGTGTGTTGAGGGCATCGTTTTTTTTTTTTTTGGGGGGGGGGGGGGGGGTGGTGTGGGTGTGGTTGTGTTGGCTTGGTCGTTTTGGCGTGGTTTAAAGGAATTGGGTAGAATAGGAGATTATAAGGGTAGTCAGGAATGAGAGGAGGGTGTATGCTTCCATTTGTACGGTAGACGGCTTGGAGCTTGGTTCTGGTAGAACATTTCGTTTGGATAATAATATAGTCTTGGTTTGATACTTATGGACTATGGACAAACCAAGTCAGAAAAGAACAACGAAAGGAAGAACGAAAGAAAGACAGTAGCTTCATGTATCCGTAGAATGAGACATTTCAGCTACCTCCATTGCCTACATTCACCCATTGCCCATGTTCCATTATCCCTATAAAAAAGACCGTTGTTTGTACTGTACCTACCTATAAGCTTCTATATGGCGTGGACCTACATAATGAGGTTACTCTGTCTAGCTTGGTTTGCCTGTCTCGTCTTTCTTGCCAATGCTTTATTTAGCGGTTATGTGCAGCATGTGCATGAGACAGGGTCCTCCATACTCATACCTACAGCCGGTAAACCCACAATTCTAAATGAACCGAGTTGCTATATGCCATTAATGCTGCTGTACTATCTTAACTTATATGCACCATGCAAATCCATAACATCATTTACAACGCCATGCCGTAATCACCATAAATCTGAGAAAGCGTCAAACAGCAAAAACACCATATCCACCAGCAAACCACGTAAAACTGAGTACCGTAAGGGTAACCATTCCCATGGCGAATCGCACAGCATGGCCATCGAGTTCAGGGAGGGCACCGTTGCATGTTGCGCATTTGTATTCTGCCTCGTCAGTATCACTATCCAACGCGCAAAAAAGGGTGATGGGGGGGAAAGCCTACCATTCAACGGCGTATAAGCCTGCGGCACATACATCCCGAAACTAAACTGATTCTGACTCCCCAACCTCCCCGCACTAGCCGTATCCCCAATCTCCCCATCCACATCATAAACAACCAACGTATACGTCGCCGTGAGCAATGGCACCGTCGCATTCGCCTGATACTTACCCGTGTCCCAGGTTACTTTTCCCGTCTCCGCGACGCTCATGTTGTTTGAGATGGTGTAGGTTGCGTCGTTCATGCTGCACGAGGCGACGACGTTGACGGCAGAGGGGGTCACCGCGAGAGACGTGTAGTTCCAGGCGAAGGTGACCTTTTCGCCGATTTTGTAGTATGATGTTGCGCCTTGGGTTGGGGTGAGCATGGAGATGCCGCCGACGCCCATGCGGGGGTCGATGGAGGTGCTGTTGGAGGAGGAGGATTTGGTATTGGAGGCGGTTCCTGTTGCGGTGTGGGTGTTTGTGTTTGTACCGGTGGTCGCATCACTTTGGCTCGCGGATTCGGTAGCATCGGTAACAGAGGCAGTGTCAGAATCGGTCGCAGTCGCAGGGGCTTCGGTGGTAGAGGCAGCGTCGCCGGTGGTTGCTGATTCTGCCGCAGTGGTGTCTGAAGAGTTAGCTTGGTTTTCTCTAGAAACTTGAATAACTCACCATCTCGTCTTGCTATCTCCCCCGAATTCCCCTGATAACCAGCAACCACACCCAACAGCATGCACAGCACACTGAAAAACACAAAGAAGCGCATATTGATCGTCTTGAAAATCACGATCGACAGTGTCAACAATGCGATATCCGGGGATGCGGACAGGATCAATGATCTGGCTGTTGAGAGATGTCGATGTCGATGCCGATGTCAGGTGTAAAAATCAAATTAGAAGAGAATTGTGCGAACGACAGTTATTAAAAGTAGTCTGTTAGAAACACCGATAGCGAGTCAGATGGTGCCCGGACGGTGAAACACAGATGCGACACTGTTGGAATATGTACAGACGCTCAGCGAGAGAACAAGAGGGAGAGAGTAACGAGTGAACGAGTGACTATTACTTATTAGAGAGTACTGTAGTGGCATGATAGTACAGAGTAGAGAAAAGACAGAAACTGACAGAAAGGGTGGAGGATCGCCGAGCTAACCCGATTGGGAGGATGTGAGACATCTATTTTTGGGATACTGTACAGTCTGGTAGTAGAGAGTCGGAGCATTTTGCCAATTATTGAGCAATCCTAGCTAGTTGATATAGACATGATTACTATTGTACATTAAGTTCATAGTGATATACCTTTTTTTTTTTTTTTGTTCGTTCTTGACCGTATATCATCCCGATCGCATCGCATCGCATCCAGTCCAGTGAGTACCGTTTAAAGATAAACAGCCTGCAACTCAACCTCACTGCAGCTCGACGGAACATCCGCCTTCATCGGCTCATACAGGTAAAACAGCTGAGGCGCGTTGTGAACCCAGTCGCAAACCAACCATCCCCCGAATCCATTCTTCTCACTCCACTTCAAATGCGCATTGTCAAGCTCGAAGCCGGAAGTGCCGTAGCCGGTGTTGATTTGGACGCCTTGCCATGCTGCACGTTCACCACCGTTAGCACACATCCTTATACCCCGGAGTATTCCGAAAGCACAGTCTGGATACAGGGGAGACTTACCACCATAGTTAGTAGCCCCAACCATATTAACACCCCAAGGAAACGGTGTCCCCAGATCAAACTGCACATTCGTCCCGTTGACAAACGCCTTGCTCGCGTCGTCTGCGTTGGCGCTCAGCACGGCATCGTTGAGGCCCGCGCCCGTGTGGTACGCGTAGACGTAGAGGTTGTTGTGGGAGTCGCTGTTGCTGGAGGAGGTCTTGAGGTGGAATTTCTTGGTGGTGATGGCGGCTGAGTCGTTGGCGCGGGTGATGAGGGGGGTTGCTGCGGCGGTGGTGGCCAACAGGGCCGAGGCGAGAGAGGTGAGGAATTTCATTGTTGTTTTTGGTAAGAGGATCGTTTGTAGTAGTGAGAGTAGAGGAAGTGTTGTCGTTGAGATAAAGACGGGGGGAGTGGTATGTATTTATATCTGGGGAGAACTCCTTGATCGGAGACGAAAAGAGAAAAGAGTTCAAGACAAGTACGGGAGGCAAATTCAACAATTACAATCACTTACAAGGCTACTCATGTCGATCGCCTATTTTTATCACTCCACTTTATCTATAGATGTACTTGTAGAGATGAGGATGTGCACTGCATCCATGGATCAAGTTCAGGGGTTTGTGTGGATTTTACGCTTCGATGTATTGCCCCGAGTGTGTTTGATTATCATCTCTGTGGGAAATTATGCAGATTGGCTATAGATTTAGGACATTGTAGTGGTTAGTGTGTGATTTTCAAATGTATCTGTGAATTGTAGAGTTGGTGCGATTTAGTGCTGAGATTTAGTGCGCTTGGGCATTGAGGGTACTTGGTCTGAGTGTGAGTGTGAGTGTCAGGTTGATGGTATTGATGTCATTTCCAGTCGTGGACTTTGGGTGGTTCATGTTCGTTTGTTTGGGTTGGTGGTTTGTTTTGATGTCATTCTTTCTTCTTTTCTGTCTTTTATCATTATTATCTGGTAGACTCTGGTACTCGGGAGATTCGAATCGATGATACTACTCCGCATTCCTGCACTGTTGTATACCGGCCGGTATGTAGCAGATTATATAATACTCTCTGCAGAGATATTCTCGAGCATTCCATATGATTAGAATCGAATTGATTTCTCTACTATATACGGTTTATGCACTGTAAATATGCATACCCCTATTCTATGCAAAAATCCCTAAATAAAACGATCCATATCGACCCGTGGTACCACATCAACAAACAAACGCCTCTACTGTATGCCCCAGAAAATGAAACCAAATAAAAACAAAAAACAAGGAAAAAAAAAAAAAAAGACAAAACAAAACAAAACAAAACCCTCACCCAAATCCACCGCCCCCTAAACTAAATCCACCGTTCTCCATCACTTCTTGGCATACTCCCGTTTCAACACCCACCTCCCCCGTCCATTCCGACCCCCAGCTCCAGCACCCCGCTCCAGCACCGCAATCCGCTTCAGCATCTCCTTAAACTCCGCCGTGCGCTGCGGCGTCGTGCAGAACCGGTTAAAGTGGTTCACTAGATTTTGCGAAAATGCGGACCCGCCTTGCGCCAGGATGAAATCTCGGATCATGCTGATGTTGAATCCGGTGTCGGTGTCGGTTGCGGTCGGAGTGTTGCTGCCCCTGGTATTACCAGTTGGAGTGTTGGTGCCGCTACTTCTCGGTGTAGTTGCTGTGCGCGCGGAAAGATTGGCCAATATATTCGCAGACGAAGGTCCCGCCGCGCGACGGGCACTGCTACTACTCCCCCCGAACATTGATTCCTGTCGTCCTGCGATCCCCGATTGTCCCGTCCACGTGGGCGTGCCAATAGGTACTGAGCGTGCTGCTTCTCCAGCCCTGCGTAGTTCTTCTGCTGCCTCGGCTGCGACGCGCTTGGCTTCTGCCTCGATGATCTTGGGGTCCGCTCGGACCACTCGCTTGCCGTTGGGGTTTATGATTTGGTCGTGTTCGAGGGCGGAGTGGACACCAGCTCGGGAGAAGATGTTTTCCATTATGCGGGATTCGGTTTTATTGTCATTGGCGTTGGGATCCGGGGTTGATGCGGTATTTGTTTGGGGCTCGGGTTCGTGGAATTTTTCCATTGATGCGATGCCGGTTACTTTGCTGAGGTCTTGGGTTTCGTTGGAGTCTGTGTTTTCGTATTTGACTTCGGCGTCTTGGAATAGTTTGCTTGTTTCTGTTTGGCCATTTTCGTCGCCAAACGTGAAAAGGTCGTGCAAGTCGCTCAGCTGGAACGTCGAGCGTTGCTTGGGATCCTTTAGGATTTTGTTCGTCAAAAACTGCTTGAAGATCTGTCGGTGGTAAATCTTCTCCTCGATAGTCCCTGCAGTCATCAGGCGATACACCGTGACATCGCGTTTTTGTCCAAGTCTCCATGCTCGCTCGCGCGCCTGCACATCTGTCGACGGATTCCAATCCGGATCGTAGATGATGACTCGATCGGCGCCGGTCAGATTCACACCCAGTCCACCGACACGGGTCGTCAGAAGGAAGACATGCAGGTTCGGATCGTTGTTGAACTCGTCTACCATCGACTGTCGGGACTTGATCGGTGTGCTACCGTCCATTCTGCGATATTGAAAATCAGGCACCGATCGGACGAGTTTCTCCAGGATATCAAGCATGATGCGATGTTGTGTGAATAGCAGGGTCTTATGGCCCGTATCTTTCCACAGATACAAAAGCGACTTGACGACCTGCATCTTGCCGGATTGGCTGGCGCGCCCGTAGTTTGCATTGCCAGACGTAATCTTGCGATCTAGGAGATCCGGATGGTTGCAAATCTTGCGCAGTATATCAATACCAAACAAGGCTTGACGACGCCCCGTCAGGATAGACTGCATCTCCTCTGACCCAAGAAAAGCCTTGTATGCCTGCATTTGCGGCACCGTCAGCTTGCAGAATAGCACCTGCTCACTCTTCTTCGGGAGATCGGCCGCCACGTCGATCTTGAATCGCTGCAGGAGATACGGGGTGATGGCATCCTTGAGCGTCTCGGCGCACTTGGCGGCTGTTTGAACTTGTAGGTTTGACGCATTCGCGTATCCGCCCTGTCGGATGGGAAAGTCGAACTGGTTTCGAAAGCTGACTAGTGTTCCCAGTCGCATTGGGAAGACAAAGTCAAAGAGTGACCAGAGTTCTGTTAAGTTGTTCTGCATCGGGGTACCCGAGAGAATAACCCGATGAGGTGTTCGAAGCTCCTTGCAATGGAACGTGATGGACGTATCAGGATTGCGAATCTTGTGTCCTTCGTCCAAGACTGCGCATCCCCATTCCATAGGAATCAACAGTGGTGCATACGTCTGCAGTCCGGCGTACGTAGTGACAAGAACGTGGCCCTCCTCTGCTACCCGCTTGGTAACCTTTCTGGCTGCTTTCTGGGCGCCGGTCAACCCACGAGAACCACCACCGCTGTACTTCTGCGTGAGAAGTTCGTTTTCTCGACTGCTCTCATTGCGGACATTCACCATTCCACTGCCCGAGGTATGCAGGATCGAGACTCGAAACGGCGGCCACCAGCGATGGAACTCGTTCACCCATTGCTTCATCACTGTTGCTGGGCATACGACGAGCGCGGGTTTGGTGAACTGTTTGCTGTAATGCAGAGCGGCCAGGTAACTGATGACTTGGATAGTTTTTCCAAGACCCATTTCATCCCCAATAATCCCTCCTACATGCTGCTGGTGGAGCTCCCAAAGCCATTGCATTCCGGTTTTCTGGTAGTCGAATAGATATTGATGAACGTCGCCAGGTGCGCGGTAGCCATTGTCATACTCCAGGTCTGGCACGGTCGGATGAGGCATGAACCATTCCTCTTCTTCTGGCTGTTCGTCGCCCTCGTCCTCACCAGCTGCGCGTCGGGCTTCCCGTGCACGCTTTCTAGCAGCACTTCTCCGGCTGACCCAATCTTGCAGTCTGGCTTGATATATCTCTTCTCTGCCATCGTCTAACCCACTGAGATCTTCTATTCCATCTTCGTGTTTGGCCGCTTGCTTAGCACGTTTCTTCCCTTTTTCTTCATCTTCCTCCACGACAAAGTCGTCGTCGCTTTCTTCTTCAGCTTCCGATGCCACATAGCTTGCGGAATCGTCTTGATCTGACGGGACTTCCGCCTCTTCTTCTTCACGCTTTATATGGCGATCCTCAGCATGGCCACGCTGTTGTAATTTTCTCCGCTTCTTCGAACGATCCTCTGGTGCCTCCGAACTGGCTTCGGTGCTCTCGTCAAAACCAAACCCGGGACGCCTAAGATCTCGATGCGACACTTCCATTTTATTCTTCATTTGCTCCAGAGCCTCGCTTTCATCACGCTCATCCTCTGCATCCACCAGGGCATCCCGTAGACAAGCTAGAGGCCCCTCTTCAGGACCACCGCTCATCTTGGCAAATGGTGTAATCTTTCCGGTCCTGATGAGATAATCCCTGCGTGACTCGTTGGGCATTCTCCCTGTCCCAGTCACTTGGGAAGCTGTTTCCTGGCCTTCACGTCTCGCGTCGATCCGTTGTTGAATCTCTTCCAGGTCCGTCGCCAGTGATGCATCCTGAGACTCGAGCTTTTGTATATCATTTTGGATGCGAGCTCGAGCGGCTGTGCCAACCGGTTGCGAAGCGCGCTGGTGTAGTCTTAAAATTTGCGCTTCTAACTTCTCCTTCTCATGGCGAGTCTTTTCTAATCTCTTATTGTCGCGTTCGTCCGCTTGCTCGTTGAGCAGCCGGTCCGCCTAGAGAAGTTAGAACCAGCTAAGCTTCCATGGCAGTATACCTACCTGCCGCGTAATATCCCTTTCGAGATCATCTTGGTTGCGAACGTTAGCATGGAGCTCCTTCAGACGGCTTGCCTCATCCATGTCCGCTTGCTCCGGAGGGATTTCCTCTTTCAGTCCTGGTGTTTCTGAGGAGCATTGTTCATCTTCTTGCGGGACGGTATCTAGAGGAGTCTCCTCTGTCCGCGCTTCTGGGTCCTCTTTCACGTCCATGTTGCTGTACTGTACTTTCAGTATGACAGATTAAATAAAATAGATCCCTTGATGACCACCACGTAATATGCAGCATAAGCCACCAAGAAAAAGCGCAAACTGCAGTAAAATAAAGAAAATGGCTATAGATCTGTCACAGTCATATCTGCGGCGGTGGCGTTGTCAGATTCTGACGGACTCGACTGTGTCCAGGATATGACTGGCTTCCTGGTGGTTGTACCGTGGATAAATAAATGAAGTCCCTCAGTGATCTTCAGGTCCAGTATAGACCCCTGTCGACAGGTAGGCAGCAGAGGATGGAGGCTCAACAGGTAACTATGCGAAGAACATGGCAACAGACCGCCTTGATTTAGTGGCAGAATATGGTCATGTGATATGTAGTATTCACCGCCTTGTCAGGTCACGTCACTAAGAGACAACAGACAACCATATTCAATGGCAGAGAATAAATTATAGCAATTTAAAAAGAGTCTTAGATGAGATAAGAGATGAATGCCATGTCTAAGAACTATCTAATAACTCTGCATGGGCATCAGTACTGTCTCACGGTCAATTATCTAATCCTTGCATGCGTCGAAGATATAGATCGAGGCCACCAATACCACCAATGCCACCAATGCACACCATGTATTCCTTCACACCGTGCACGAGCACCGCTACTTTTGTATACTCTTACAGGTAAAGCACATGCATGTTTATCTGGTGACCGTGCGAGGATATCGCAACGGTTGAGATTTATGTGTGATGGTAACTTCGTCATCATCCATACATCCACACGATATATATCCATGGATGGGTTGAATGAGGTGAGGTTGGTTCAGAGCAGCTTACCAGTAACAGCTAATCCTAATTATACTAATCCTCTGTAATTTCTCTCTCTCTCTCTCTATATATATATCTAACCTACTACTGTCTACTGTCTACCGTCTTCTACCTGTGTTCAATAATTGTGGCTGTCTCGTATCTTCGAGTCTCGCCCAACCGCCGCTTGAGGTCTCGCCAGTAACTCCACCTCCACCTGGCAACGTCGACTCTGATTTTTCTCTCCTCCTGTTTCTTCTGCTTGATATTTATACATCGTTCTCTCTGTATCTGCACTGCTTGTGCATTTCTGTTAACAGGGGTGCCTTTCCTATCGTGGCCCTGTATTTCAGTGCTTCTGGCTCCCTCATCCGGATTTGCCCTCCCGGATCCAGCAGTTGACACCTTCATTTCCTCTTCCCTCGCTCACTGTTTCCCTCTCACTTCTCTGTTTCTCTCATTTCCCCTTTGCCCCTTTACAGCTCATTTCTCGAGGCGATCGTGTCTATCAGTGGCTGTGGCTCCATTCCCACTGGTGAATTGCGACCGCTCAACGATAGCAGTCCAACAGTGGCCATCCTCGAACCCACGAAAACGACGACTACTCACAAATCTCCGGGTATAATGCGGTGCGAAACAACTCAGAAGGTCTAGTTCTCGAATCAATTCGTCTGGTCTCGCCTGCGTCGTGTGTCTCGCGTTTCTCGCCCGAATATATCTCCCTCTTTCCGGTACACACAAGTTATCCGCCCGATCGATTGCGCTACGACGTGCGTGTGCCGTCCCCGCTGCTGTCATAGCCCTCCTCCAGCACCACCACCTCCCATTACTGCTAACTATAGAGTGCTACGTACCCTGTACTCTGTACTCTAACCCTTCTTTTATTTGTTTCCTCCCTCCAACGCGATCACAGCAGACGGATGCCCAGCTTCGCCCTCGGACGGTGACGACGCCCATTCCTCAACTCGCCTCCGAGTCACCCCCCTCGGAAACAACATTGCAGACAAAATCGGTTGACAGGTGTTGGATTGGAAAAAATAAAGAAAAGATATGGATCCTAAGTGGCAGCCATATCAGGATCCCTTGATGGGTGGCCGTCCCGCGCAGTACAATAATGGATTGACGTCGACTCCCTCCAAATATGTCGCCCAGCCGGCCTCGTCCCAGCCACCCATGGGATACCAGTACGAGGCCTTTCAAACTCCCGCCGGCATGCCTACTCGTGCCCCCTCGATGAATTCCGGCTCCAAACCCATGTCCATTGCCTCGTCGCCCACTGCGCTCCCACGGAATCGGGATTTCGTCCCTGACGCAGATACTATGATGGACGATAGCGACCCCTACAACCGGGCCAAATACTCGGTCAGAACGAGCCATCACGCTCGACCATCCTCTCAATATTTTCCTACGGAGGAATCCACCGCCGCTCGCAGATATTCTCCGAAGAACGCTCTTTCTCCATCGGCCCCGTACAATGCCAGCCCGGGCAAGTCTCACAATCCATATGCTCTGCCGCCCGGCCCAAACAACAATCTTCGACGCTCACCAACAAAGTCGTCGAATTACACCTCGCCGCCCCAGGCGTACCAATCGCCTCCATGTGAGTAGATTGGCAAAGAGTTTCTTTCTTCCAATCATTGCATACTGATTTGTCACAGCAGCTACGTCTCGTCCTCCGCGTCTTCCTCCGTTGCAATCGACATCGACCGAAATGACTCCCCCGGAACAATACTACCCATCGTCGGCTACGTCGCAATTGAGCGCTCCGTTTGGGTACGATGGACGGTCGCCGCGATCTGCCTCCATTTCTGGTGGAAGTCAACAACCCACTCCTGGCAGGGGTCCAGTGCCCAAATTCCAGAAAATAAAGTCGCTCCAGGAGCTGCAACCACGGGCCAACGCACAACCTGCCTACAGACGTGCGAATCCAGAGGGTGGTTTCATCAGTGTAAGTTCCGAATTTGGGTTCCCGAATATGCGATCAAGATTCTAAAACAATGCAGCCGCTGCACGCGTTGACGACCCATCTTCCTTCCTCTTACCGGATATGCAACCCGAGCTTCAACTACGAGTCATCTAGAAACCCGCGACGAGTCTTGACGAAGCCGAGCAAGGGTGTCAAGAACGATGGTTACGATAACGAAGACAGCGATTACATTCTATATGTCAACGATATTCTTGGTAGTGAAGATGCAGGACACAAGTAAGCTCAACGGTTTAGCCTGTCGTGCGACACGTACGCTGACTCTGCAGGAACCGGTACCTTATCCTGGACGTGCTGGGACAAGGAACATTCGGACAGGTCGTCAAGTGTCAGAACCTGAAAACGCAGGAGGTTGTGGCCGTCAAGGTCATCAAGAACAAGACCGCGTACTTCAACCAAAGTATGATGGAAGTGTCTGTCCTGGACTTGGTGAGCCTCCTGCGCCGATCTTGGTAGATTCGTGCTAATATCCAGCTCGCACAGCTCAATAGCAAGTACGACAAGAACGACGACCACCACCTGCTTCGATTGAAGGACACATTCATCCACAAACAACATCTCTGTTTGGCCTTCGAGTTGCTTAGTGTCAATCTTTACGAATTGATCAAGCAGAATCAATTCCGAGGACTGAGTACGACATTAGTGCGCGTCTTCGCGCAACAGCTTCTCAATGCCCTGAGCCTTTTGAACAAGGCGCATCTGATTCACTGCGATCTTAAACCTGAGAATATATTGCTGAAGAAGTTAGTTCCGCCTATCGCGGCAGTTGGAGATCCCACAGCAGCTAACCCGACTCCGCGCAGCCTGGAGAGTCCGATTATCAAAGTCATCGACTTTGGGTCTGCATGCGACGAGCGTCAGACAGTGTACACCTACATCCAGTCGAGATTTTACCGTTCTCCTGAGGTTTTGCTCGGATTGCCGTACGTTCCACTTTTCTATTCCGTTTCGTTTGCGCTCATACTAACACATGCAGATACTCTTCTGCAATTGATATGTGGTCGCTCGGATGTATTGTGGTTGAGCTTTTCCTTGGTCTCCCGCTGTTCCCTGGTTCTTCGGAATATAACCAGGTATGCCGGATTGTTGAGATGCTTGGCTTACCCCCGACGTGGATGCTCGAAATGGGCAAGCAATCGGGTCAATTCTTTGAGAAGACCCAAGACGAGTTCGGAAGGAAATCCTACCGCCTCAAGAGCTTGGAACAGTATTCTCGCGAACACAACACCAAGGAGCAGCCGAGCAAGAAATACTTCCAAGCGTCGACGTTGGAGGAGATTATTCGAAGCTACCCCATGCCGCGGAAAAATATGAAGCAAGCGGAAGTCGAGAGAGGTATGTGCCAGTTTAATACCAAATAAATCACGTATGCTAACTGTCAACCACAGAATTGAACAATCGTGTGGCCTTTATCGACTTCGTCCGCGGTCTGCTGTCCATTAACCCACTGGAACGTTGGTCGCCCCAACAGGCCAAGTTGCATCCGTTCATCACACAGCAAAAGTTCACCGGACCGTTCGTACCGCCGATGAACCTGAAGTATGCTTCGCTGAACAAGACCGTCCCACCCGGTATCCAGCAGCAACAACAGGCCGAGGCCGCGAGCAAGCAGAGAGCAGCACAAGCGGCACACGCACACACTGCAGCCCAGAATGCCTACTCGATGCAGATGAACCAATTCCATCCTTCTCAGTCGCAGCCGCCTCCGATGTACAACGGAATGTTCGCTGGCCAGCAAGGTGCACCACCGTATCCCACGCAGCCGCCGGGCTACAATCAGATGCATCTTATGCCAGGACAGGTGCCTCAGGCACAGTACGCGCCGTCGCAAAGCTTGTATGCCCAGGCGACCACTAGAGCTGGTCGCCAGCGTGCATCCACCATGGACCCACAAGGGGTTCCGCCAACGATCCAGCGGGTTGCTAGCCACCTCGACCCGAATGCGCCTATCCGGTTACAGCCCAGTCCAGCATACTACCCGCCGCCGCCTGATGGCTACGTTGACTCGAATTCGGCTAACCAGAGGCGACGGGGAAGTCGCGCTGGGGCTGCGCGGAACCGAGACTTTATCCGTACTCTCGAGGATGGTGTCCTGGGAGGCGAAGGGTTCACGGGCCAGAATCAATGGCATTGATTGCGTTGTTGCTGTTGAATTGCACCACCGGGTGCGTCCGATTATCTGATATTCCGTTTCTTTTGTTATTCGGGCAGCGTTTTCCATGCGGAACCAACGCAGGGTTACACCAAGTTACGTGGTTTGTCTGTTGGAGATCTCGCCCGATACTGCGAGTTTCCCTTCACTGCTGTCTCTTTTCGTCCATCAGCTACTCCTTCCTTCGGTATTGTCCGTGTTACTAGATTAGGGGAGAGCGAAGATGGAATATCGAAGGGAGCAAATGTGGTGTAATAACCCTCCGCCGTGGCAAGAATGTACAAGCCAGACCACCGGAGGGTATGCCCGAGACAGATGTCTTTTCCGAACCCCCAAATGTTTATGCATGGCCTGAAAAGTCAGGATCCATGCTAGTCTTTGTATTTGTTACATTTCCATCTTGCCATTTCCATTTCCGCTGGGCATTACTGTTATTTCCTCTTGTATCTTTCCCGTTTTGTATGCTGTTGATGCATTCGTTATGCTGGGACGCAGGTCGGTAATGTCGAGGCGATCAAAACGTATACCCTCTGCTTGTTCTGTTTATATGCAAAATATGATCCGTTATCTACAGTAAAATTAGTAATAATAGTCCGGAGTAGAATCCCCAGGTTTCTGGTGGTGCCTTACTGCCTGAGGCATATAGTTGCCTTATGGGGAAAGGCGCTCGCTCGCTTAAAATTCGTGTGTGGCACGCGGAGGCCAACCTCTGCGGCTCGGAACCCTCACCTTCACAAAGAAACGTCCAGCCTTAGGGAACCACGTTGATCCATCCCACCTCTGTCTGTCCCGGTGTGAGTCACGCTCGACTCGAAAAGACCTTTTCCAAACACGCCCTTCGAACCCCGTCCGAGCGAACCCATCTTTCCCACCCCGAATACCCGCACCGAAAAAAACCCGCCACCATGTCGCGTTTCTTCAAAGGCAACGGCAGCGACAGCGACTCCTCCGAGTCCGAAGACGAGGTCCTCTCCGAAGAGGAAGAAGAGAGATCAGCAGCAGAGGAAGAATCCAGCGAGGAGGACTCGGATGTGGAGGATGCGGAGGCCGACTCTGATGATGAAGAGGCCGGTGGGAAGACCGGTGCTAATGCATTCTTGAAGGATGTTTCGGAGAGCGAGGAGAGCGAGGATGAGGAGA